AAATTCATGATTAAAACTGATTTTATCTTGATGTCAATGCCAAGTAATAAGCCTAATTATTAGGGTTTTTCTTTGTTCTGAATACAACCTTTAAAAAAAAAGATATAAAATAGTAACTCCTTCATTAGCAAATAAAGCTTTGCTGCAGGGCTTAATATTAGTTTATATTTATCAGTTATTTGCTCAGGGTTGATGTTCTCGTCTCTTTCCTCCCTTTACCTCACCAGGTCCAAAGGAACTGCTGCTTAACGCTGTGTAACTTCAGTATTCCAGAGGAGCTGGAGTTCCAGTACAGTCGGGTCAACCAGCTGTTACTGAAAATCCTGGAGCCTGCCCGGCAGGATGAGTCCATCCAGAGAATCGCTGTCCACCTCTGCAACGCTTTGGTCTGCCAGGTGGACAACCACCACAAGGAAGCAGTGGGGAAAATGGGATTCGTCAAGGTAATGCGAGGGTTACAGCCACATCCCTTCATTCATTTTCTCTTTTTCCACAAAGGGCTGTGAAGGGGCTGGAGTCCATTCCAGCCATTTTTGGTGTGGTTAATCCTTGATATTTGACTCTTTCTAAATATTCATGAGCTCTGGAAAAATACAGCTTAGAGGTCCACTAAAGAACTCTTCCTAAACCAGTCATTTATTGAGCCTCTTGACAGGATTACCTTTCCATTGGATTGTTGAACGCCTATGTGAAATTGACATTTTATGTCAGATTTATCATCAAGTTAAATTTAAACAAAACAGAGGATTCATCTGTTAAGCAGAGTGGATAAGGGCGAAGTTACTAACTAACATGGATGAACACACTGCTGTCGTAATGGTGCCTGTCTTCTACTGGTCTTTACAGAGACCAATGAATTGAAAATCTGCACTATATAAAAATGTTTGAGAAGTTCTTGCTAAAATAAAGCCAGAAATTAAGTTTTCTCATACACAGAACAGAGGAAAAATTGATAGTAGTTCCTTTGTGATTAGAAAACTTCCACATCTGCAACCTCCCCATCAGAGGTAGACAGCACCAATGATGGGAAAGAGGAGAGCCAATCAATTGCTGCCTACAATTAGCAACAACAAAACTAACTCTGCCTCCATCTTGAATCTTTTTTTTTACACTTATGCAAGCCCATGGTGCAAATAAAAGTAAAAAAATAACAAAACGAACAAAAAATATCCAAAGGTGATGCAATGGATAGATGCTAGCTGCAGCTAGAGGAAAAGAGAAAGTGTAAGAGAACAAACATTATATTGAATTTGAATTTCATTGCTGGAGAAAGCTCAGGAAAACAATCAGGAAAGTTCTGTCTCAAACTACGGTAACATGAAATTAAGTTCATCTCGCATGTAAATCTTTTTTATCTTTTTAAGAAATGTTGCAATATTATAAGTATATGTGTCAGAATTGTAAATTAATCTGAAAAGCTATATGTTTTACACATTATTTGGAATATTTTTATTATGTTTTTTTAAACTTTGTCTTGGGCATGTTCGTGTATCAGCTAGATCAAAGTAAATTAAAATGTTCTTTTAAAAAAACTTGACATTTCTTTTTTTTGCCCCCTCTTTGGTAGCCTATCGCAGCGTTAGTGTTAGCTTGGGGGAAAACAAGGCTTCCCTAATGCGAATACCAGTGACTTGTTTGGTTGTCAATCTATGAATGAGTCAGAGAATAATTGTCTAGGCTCTTAATTAAATTTTGTTCCTATTTACCCTCTTTTTTTTTTTTAGACAATGCTGAACTTGATTCAGAAGAAGCTACAGGACAGAATGGTAAGTCTGCAACTCGTTTTCCAAAACAGAAGACCATTATTCTACTACGCTGTCACAGAATGAGGAAGCCTTAAATTTATGGTCATCACGTCTTGCTAAAAACGTTTTTTAAAAAAACCTCACGAGTCTTTCCTCTCAGTGTGACCAGGTCATGGAGTTTTCCTGGAGCGCGCTGTGGAACATCACCGACGAGACGCCTGACAACTGTCAGATGTTCCTCAACTGTCGGGGCATGAGTCTCTTCCTGGAATGTCTACAGGTGAGTCCAGGAAGCCACGCCGAGCTGACCGGACTCCACTTTATTGCCCTTTGTTTTATACCGAATTTAGACTGCTTGTGTCCTACGTTTGACTATTTATTTATTGTTTTTTTTAGGAGAGATTTTAACACCCGATGTGTGAAAAATGAAAAATGTCAGTGGTTAAAAATGCATTGCTTTGGGGCACTTTCTGTGTTATGTTCAAACTTTTGGATGAAAAGACAGGGGTAGTACACAAGAAATCAGAACCAGGAGTGACCACTGAACTTCAATCTGTGATCAATAAAGTCTGACCTGTTGTTTAAGGTTGACTTAAATGAAAGAAATCCATCAGCAATTAAGTCAGAAGAGCCTAAATAACATAGAGCAAGCCGAAGGCCAAGGTGTTCTCAGAAGAGCCTGAGAGGATTTAAAATCCATGGCATTCATTCATCAGTCGCAGAATTAACTTTAAACATTGTGATTGCTGATTACTGGGTGGATTCTTTTACTTTGTTTTCTCCTGTGTTTAAAAGGAATGGCTTGGTGAGATTTGTCTTGTATTTGTTGGTTTCAGGAGATGTTAGTCATATACCAAAAGAGCCTGTACTATAAATTATGGTTAAAAAAAAAACTGTGTTCCAATATCATCTGTGTCTAGTTGATTAATTTAGGAGCCATTAACAGTAAACGAGTTGTTAAGGAAGCAGGATGCATCATTGCCTGGTTTTAGACACTGATATAATAAAATACATCATAGGAAGTTTTTTTTTTCCACTTCATCTGACTCCTAAATGTTGCTAATGGCTGAAAGAAACTTTTCTAAAAGGCCAAGATGTTTTAATTATTATGTATTTTAAATTAATTTCACTGTTAGATTTATTCCCAATACAAAGCTCTGTTTCACTGATACTTTTCCTGTTTATGTGTTTACTGTACCGTTCAGATTGAACATATGAATTTTCTGATCTTCCTCCAGGAATTTCCAGATAAGCAGGAGCTTCACCGCAACATGTTGGGCCTCTTAGGAAACGTAGCTGAGGTCAAAGCTCTGAGACCCCAGTTGCTCACCCCGCAGTTTATCACTGTGTTCAGGTAAGAGAAAAACAATAGCGGACAAAACCAGAATGCTTTCTGAATGACCACAGGTAAAACCCTCAAAGTAGTGGCCGTTAATGTGGGAAATGATGGCCAGCAGGTTTTACACAGTTGCAAACCTCCTTTTATTAAATGCAATAATTTCAGTATTATCCAATAATAATAATAACTTTGGCTTAACACAAGTAAGTTTAAAAAAAATCTGAAAAAAGCCGGAAATGTACTATATTCCTACATTCATAAAAGCAGATTTTTTATTTTTTTTCTTCTTTTTTTTGTCATTCTTTACATGTTTAATCTGTTTTCCCCAAGGAATAAGAATATTTTTCTTAAGCTGGATAGAGAAGGAGATTGCTTCTGTTCTGTATATCTCATTTGTTTATTCTATTTTAAACTTGAATACAGTAACCTCCTGGACAGTAAGGCGGATGGAATCGAGGTGTCCTACAACGCGTGCGGCGTGCTTTCGCACATCATGTTCGACGGGCCAGAAGTCTGGCTGATGGAGGACCCACGCAGAGACACGGTGATGAACAGAATGTGGGTCGCCATACAGAGCTGGGACGTCAGCTCCCGCCGCAACATCAACTACCGGTGAACACCTTTTTTAAATAATTTTTGACTGTCTTTTTATAGGGAATACAATTTATTCATGTAAGTTGTCACAAATAAATTCAGAGTGTATGATTGTGATAGTAATTACTACTAATGAGTATTGATAGATTATTAAATGACATGGCAGGTAACCGACTCCACATTTAGATTGTTAAACCAACCCAATGTAGGTTCGTAGACACCACATGTTGTATATCAAATACCACCATTTGATGGTTTGTTTCAAAAACTCATTTTGAAAATGGTAATGGGTTAGCTTTCCTGATCCCCTTCACAGTTTTAGTGGACATCACTTCTTCAAATCGAATTCTAATCAGAATCAGAATCAGCAATACTTTAATAATCCCAGAGGGAAATTATTTTTATTATTATGTTATATATAATTTTTTTTTTTTTTTATTTAAAGGCCCTCTTAAGCCAGTACTGGTGTTGCTGTTCTGTTAAAAGACCACTACCTGCATTTCTCAACTTTACACATTTAATTCATCATTTAATTTTATTTTGGAGAACAATGAAAGTGACTTTTAATAAAAATCCAATTATGAATTGGGTAGCTGGCTCTCAGACTAACAGTCGGATGTAACTTTTCAGCCTCCTATTAGTGCGTCAGCTCCTTCATTTTAATACAAATGCAAATATTTTACACTTTAGATAGACTTTAGAAGATAGAAAGCACCCCGTGTTTTGGAAACTGTTCACCAGTTTATTGAATTAGATAGCAGCATCCGACAGGTCCTCTCAGACACGGCTTTCGGCCGTAGCGTTTCTTGTTTAAATCCAATTCTAAACAGAATTTGGTCCGACAGGTCGTTCGAGCCCATCCTGCGACTGCTGCCTCAGGGCATCTCCCCGGTCAGCCAGCACTGGGCCACGTGGGCTCTTTACAACCTGGTGTCAGTGTACCGTAAGTATCTGTGGATTTTTTTTTTAGGCATCGCTTTTATCACTGACTGACTCTAATAATCGAAACTTTTTCTGCTGCTTGTTGCTTGTTGGGTAGTTAGAGGGAACCTATTTCAAACATATTCCAAAAATTTTTTTATAATTTCATGATGCATAGCCTTAAAGAAGATAAATAATCGTCTTTTTAAGGTGTTTTTTTTTCTCTGATTTGCAGCAACCAAGTATTGTCCATTGCTAATAAAGGAAGGAGGAATAAGTCTTTTGGAGAAAGTCTTGGAGCTGGACAGCTCACATCCAGAGACAAAGGACATGGCAAGGTAAGACTGTAGCCTATTTCCTAATAAGCACATAAATACACAAGCCTTATTATAGATTTGATATGACCAAATAAAAAGAAATTTTAGAGTCTTACTACTCTGGTCTATGATCTTTTGGGTTTCCTGGGTTTTTGTACCCAGCCATAATCAATGTATTCATGAAATCTTTGTGCCTAAAATGTCTTAAAAAGCAAACTGCAAAAGTTTGCATTCCCAAACTGTAAATGTCGCCTTTTTTTTTTTTTCCAGGAAAGTAATGGAGCAATGTGAGACTTTCAAAGAGGACCCCATGGAAACTAATAATGGACAAGAGGTAAACTATGGACAAAGAGGTTGACGCCACTGGAGTCGGTAACGGTCGAGCAAAACCCACCCCCCCCCGAGGCCCCACGCCACCGCCATCGTCACAAGGGTCGACTGTGTGCATTATTCTTTCTCACTTCTTACTTTGTAGAGCAGGACAACGCCGCATCTTTGACTCGATTCACAGCTCTTTGGACTGAACCTTAACACGTGAAACACGGGGGTTAAAAGAGGTGCATGGTGTTGTAGTTCCTTGAATTGAGGTGGACTGTTATTCTTCATTGTGCGTGTGGTTTTTTTTGTGTGTGTTTTTTTGTGTGTGTGTGTGTGGATGTGTCAAAAGATTTTACAACAGAGAGATAAGAGTCGATCGCACACTGTTCCGGACTCGGAGGCCCAGGCCCCAGATCTGGATCCTCACACTCACTTAGGCCCGTCGAGCACACGATTCGAACCCGCGCCAAGCAGGACTTTTAGCCATTCGGCGCCAAGGCTGATTTTTGATACGCGGGATGTCCCCCCCCCCCAGCTCTCCCGGGACAAAGACGGGGCTGTTTGTTATATATATATATGTAAATAACCTGTCCGGGTCTCATACTTTTAACGTGTGAATGTTTTCCAAAAATGACTGTAAACACTCATGACTTTGCGTTTGTATTTAAATTTTGTTCGATTCGATGTGCTGTCAGTGCAGGAAAACTCTACACAGAACACCTAATCATCAAGATGCAGTCTAGCAGCTCAACCGGACCGTGTTCCACCTCAACTCTGCTCTAAATGATCGGGCACCAGCTAAGTCTGCCTACGGTAGCTCACACCAATCCTGAGAGAAATCTCAACACCCCACTCGGTAGAAACAGTTCACATTTGTGGACATTGCGAAAAAAGAAGTCCTCAAGGACCTGGGGCCAGATGCATAGAGGACACATGCACACAAATGTGTTTTGGAAGAAAAAAAATGCTTGGCTAAAGTGTCCAGGGCTTCTGCTTTCTCCAGTTCAAACACACATATTGTTTTTGGCACCGTTTAAGTTTGATGTGATGAAGTCACAATTTCTCAAAGCTGGTTCCGAAGTCAAGTTCTTTTTTTTTTTTTTTTTTTTTTGGTAGACTTCCTAATTCTTATTGTACATTTTTCTATGGCGCCATGAATCTCTGCAGCCACTCGTCACACTTGTGTGTAATTGTTGTGAAAGACTTTGTTCATAAGGCTTTAAAAAGAACAAAATCAAAAGTTTAAAGATCTCTCAGATTTGTTTGTTTTTTACCGGAAGATTGTCCGATCTTGTACTTTAGGCTTCCAATAGCTATTTAATAACACAGTCAACTTACTGTACGTGCACATGATGTACGTTTGTGTCTCCCTCTGAATTCTAAAGGCGAAACTGTACCCCGCACAGGCCGTAAGTTCTTCCCATGCTGATAAAACAGGAAGTGCCAGTCTCCTGTGAGCTCTTGTGCATTTTGGCCTTTTTTTTAAAGCTATTTTCTTTCTCTCGTTGCATAGTTCTTTCCTCCTCTTGCAAACATGATTGCAGATTTTGTTCTGTTTGTGATTCCAGAGTTGAGGCAACCAAATAAAATAGAAATCATCTATTTCTTTTCTATTTCCACTGATGGGTGTTAAATTTAGTTCACGTTTTATTTCATCTTCCCCACTGATTATTTTATCGATTGTGTCCATTTAGTTGTGATGCACACTATGCAAATTATAGGATTTGGTGACTGTTCACATCTGTTTATGGTAAGAAAAAAAAAAGAAAAAAGAAGCAGATGGGTGTATGTTTTACAGTGAGTTTTCTTTTGAGGGCCTTATAAATAGGACAAAAACAATGCGTATGGGTATTTTAGTGTTTGTGTCTCTGTTTTTTTCATGTTTTTTTTTTCCAAAACGGTTTCATGCATCTGGTCCCCTGTCTTCCAATTTAAAGTCGACAACCACACTCCAGGGATAGACGGCCAGTTGTAAATAAGACCAAAAAAAATCCAATTGAAGACCTATGATAGACCTCAAATATCATCACAATATCTGTTTGGAAAAGTGTGACACTAGTGAGGCTGATCCTGGTAAGGGAAAATTTCAATGCAATTTTTTTTAGAGATGATCATCCTGTAAAAGAATTTTGGGTAATATGTAATTCTAGAAATTTCTTATTAACTATTTAGTGTGTCGATACTAACTAATATCAAGCAGTGGTATTACTAGTTGCTTTCCCTTGATAAGGAAGAAATAAATGTCTCACAATGGATGGAATCACTTTAATTCCGAGATTATTTGGTGGTTGGGAACGATAAATCTCACTGAAATCAACACTTAAAACAGGAACAGGTAACATGGAGATTAAGATTATGTTTTCTAGGTTTAAATTATTACATTTAGTCAAAGGGAGGGAAGTGAAATGCTAAACTCTTAAGAGCACATTTATTTAATTTGACACCAACCTTATTGATGCGTCTGATTATATACTTATATAATATAGTGTTTATGCCATCATAGCTCTGAGCTACACTTTAAACAGCAGTCAGACTTTAATGACTGTGTGCGTTTGTTTGTGCGTTTGTTTGAATCAGAATTTGATTGATAAGTTCCTTCACTGGCGTTTTTCATCACCTGGCTTTGAAACTAATTGAATTTATTTCATATAAAAAAAAAAACGATCTGAATTACTATCCCACTTTAAATACTGTATGCGATGTTATTGTGACTTAAATCTGAGGACAGAACAATAAAATTATTTTCATTTGTCCGTGAACGCTGCATTGTCTCTTAAGACAAAGAAATACTCTTTTTGATTTTGTCATCTTTTAGTAAATCCAGATGAGCATTTGACACATTTGATATAATTTAGTTTGTCAACATTAGTGGGAGCATGTCTACAAATCCAGCATCTTTTGTGAAGTTACTGTAACAGGGCTTAAACACCAACGGTGACATTACAGTAGATTTTCCTGTAATGCAAATTGAAGAACGTTGGCTTAATTGACAGAATAATTTATGAGTGTGCATTATTTTTCAAATCCAGACTCCGCTTTAGGAGCTGCTAGATTGCAACTCCATTTCTTTAGTATGTCTCCCTCATTTGTGTGTTGTAATATGGTGAGTAAGGGCTGTGCATCCTTAAACCGAATTATTCTTAAACTTAGTCAATTCATTACCTGGTTTGACCCTAAGATATGCGTTTTTTTTATAACATTTGATAGAACGAAGAAAGGTTTCGTGTTTCTTGATCTAAAAATGGATTGAATTGTCTGTCAAATAGTAATATGTTCCCGCCTTTTCTTTTTAAATATTCATAATACTTTTTTTTTATATTGACAAAATTAAGCTTGACCTTTCTTACATTAATTGAATAAAAGTAAAGATGTAAAACTGGCCTGCCATGCTGATGATGGCAGGATCTGGGTGTTAAATCGAAACGCACAGCCTAATTGATTTTTATTTGTTGGGAATCAGATGTAGGCATTGCTCATAAATGGTGCCAGTGGCAAAATCGGCTTTCTTTCTGTTGTGTTTTCCCCTCAACTGCGTTGCTGCGTGAATCTTAAGGTGTATCTCTCGATCAGCCACAGCACGGTGTGCATTCTCTGTGAATTAGTTTCTGAGCGAGGCTTAACTATATTTGCCGAGTTGGGGGTGACTCACTAACTGGATTTTGTAGTTCTCGTGTACAGTTTTGTGGGTTTCTGCAAATATGTATTCCACAAGCCGTGGCTGTGGCATTGCATCTGTTATGTAACACTCATTTGATTTGTCTGTTTGAAATTCAAATCTGTAGATATGTAATTTTTAAGAGGATTTAGCAGGTGGGGAAAACATATGATTAAATATTCTGAAGAACTGCTCAATGTTGGGTTAAATATCCTTTTTTCAGAGAATGTAGGTGGTCACCATTCACATTTTCTTGTTTTATCAACTTGGAAGTCTTTGTTTTTTTTTCAGTTTTAATTGCCAAGCAGAGTTTCTGTTACTCTAGGCAGTTGACAGTGTTGATTATTTATAATTATGTATGTATTGAAAATAAAGAAGTGGGAAAACTGCTTTAAAGAAATCTGCTGTATCACAAATCTTTCATATTTCACGCTTTAGTGTCACTGTTTATGTCTTAAATATTTCTAATGAGGGCATCCAGTTTGTAATTCCACGTTTTTCTCAAGAATTCTGTAACATTCATGTATAATACAAATAAGCAATAAAACATGAAGTAGTAAAATAATAATTTTATCATTTTCCATCTATCTTAGGTTTTCTCTAGTGTGGCATAAGCTGAGTTGAGATAGGTTTAAAAGTTACTTTGTGATTATTTGTAAGGTGATATAATTGGATTACCAAGTATGTAATGTGACCATATTAAATCAACAACAAAAGCTCCCCCAAAATTTAATTTTCAATCAATGCGATTACAGGTTAAATTAAATGCGTTCCACATATTTTTGCTTGCAAACTGTAATTACTTTATGAAAAAAGATGGTGTGCAAGCTGGACAGTGGTGAAAACTATAGGCAAGCTGAACATATTTCATGTGTGATACAGTTTGATTTTTAAATGGTAAGTTGACTGCACTTATATGGCCCTTTTCAGGTCTAATTTACATGCTAAGTAACCCATTCAAGCACTCACTGGTAGGCAGCATGGGGTTCTTCGGCCCTAGGACCCCTCGACATGTGACCCAGGCGAACCCGGAGTTGAACCGGCAACCATCCGGCCCACCGATTGGTACGTGACGGCTTTTCCTTCAGAGCTGTGCTTCATCTTTCAGCCTTAGTAATATAAAATAAGCAAAACATCACACACACACACACTTCTCCTTCAGGTTGGCAAAGTCCCGATACTTATGACAATCTGATGCTGATGTGCCAAAATATTAAGTCTCTCCTTGTGAGGCCTATTCTAAAGTACGTTTCCACAAAATGCTCCACGGCCCTCAGTTTATCATCTCTCCTCCACTGAAACATAGAGAGAATATTTACGACTTTATTCTCGCAATTTACTAATGGCTTTATTCTCAAGTAATTATCTCCATATTTAATAACGCCTTTAATCTTTCAATGTACTTTTTTTAAAACTTTTTTTATTTTCATTAATGTGGCCCTTCGTCGTAATTTGGTCAGCTTTCTATTTCCTATCATTTCTCTTTAGGGAAAAATGAGTCTGGGCTGGTATGGGCTAACCCTGTTCTATTTTTTTAAGGCAACGTCTGCGTATTTAAAACAAAAATTAAATTAATAAATTAATAAAAATAATCAAAACAAACAACCAAATAGATAAATAACAACCAAACAAATCAATAGATAAATAAAAACCAAATTAATGAATAAATGAAGGCTGAATGACAACTTTTACTGCTTTGAAGGAGTTCAGTATGTAAATATCATAGACATATAGGAGCTCTACGTCATTTCTCTGCGTACACTGGAGTCACGTGGGTCTACGCATACGTGTTTATGGCCGGAGTCACCGTGCTGCGATCCCTTTAAACGCAGGGCGGAGAGTCGACTTCCGATCCCCCGCGGAGTCGATCGCGCCTGCACTTTTCTGCGTGCGCCGCCGCTTCCATCGCCAGCCCAGCTGATCTGGAGGATTTCCCTTCGCTGGGGGGGGAGAAACGAACCGAGCCTTTCCGCCTCGCTTCCACCGGGCACCATGGACTTCAACGTCAAAAAGCTGGCCTCCGACGCCGGCGTCTTCTTCACCCGGGCCGTGCAGGTGAGCCTTCGCCCGTCCGGGCTCCGGTAACAGCCCCTGCGGGCTGACCACGCATCCCGGCAGCAATAGCCTTCTGCACGGACGCTAAACTGGGCCGTTGTCCCTCCCCCCCCCCAAAAAAAAATCGATTTTGCCGCAGTGAATCTGAGGTGTTGTGTTTTTTTAAAAAATATTTCTTTTTAACGGCGTAGCTCGGAGTGGGCATGCCCTGAGAGCTGTAAGCCGATAAAGGTTTGTCAAACCTCAATCCATTATTGATGGCTGTGATCGAGTGAGGCTGCATCGCCCACGTGACACCAGCTCACCGCACGTTCGGAAAGCTCGAGCGGGTCCAGACAGACCTGTTGAAGGCTAATTGCTCATCGATTCCCGCCCATAATCCACGAGTGTGTCCGACTAGAAAAGCCTACTGTCCATCAACCATTTACCATATTCACGTCGAAATATGTACACAGTACAATGTAGACTTGATCTTAAGGCAGAGCTGAGGAAGAAAGATGCTTTTATTTGGTGGCAGTTTATTTATTTATTTTTGTGGATGACGATGCTTTTTGAAGCCATAACCTTTAGCAGGCCCCTAAAGTGGTTTTCACCTGACTGAAGGGCCTGGGATAGTACTCGACTTCTCTAAAGCCAAAGCCATGGTTTTAACAGTAAAAAGCTGTAGTGACATACCGGAGATATGTCCCATCTTCAAAAAGAGAATATTAAAGTATCTTAAGATGTTGCTTATTGGTGAAGGTAAGCTGGAGTGAGGAATGGCCACCTCAGTTTGGGCTTTGCTCAGTTAGGCAACTGGAGGGGAAGTTTTCTAGAAGACGTCTGGCCTCTCATCCAAGAGGCTTCATCAGTTGTACATGATGGTGGGGAGTTCTGAGATTAATATACTGTAGTTGTACCAAAAGAATTGGCAGGAAAAACAAAAGGTGGCTCTGATTTCTACTGGACGGGCCATAGAGGTCACCTGCTAATGGTCGTTAGGGGGTTCTGAGGGGTTGTGAACTCCCTCGTAAGCTTGACCATGACCTGGATGACTGAGAATCTTCACAGATAAATTTGGGCTTTGTTGGCAGTAATGAAAACGCTGCTCCATCCATGGAGATGACCTTGTTTGGATGGTTTTCTGGTCGCACCTGACTGTGACGAGGCCAAGAACTCGCTGGAGAGATGCTATATCCTCTCTGGCCTGGGACTGTCTGGGGGTCTGGAGGAGCTTGTGAGTGGGAGGGTTTTTTATCTGGATCCTGTTCCCTACTAGACCTAACCTTGAATAGGTGGAAGACAATAGATGGATGGACCTCTCTTCAGAACCGTAGCATTCTCAGAACAAGAGAGCTAGAAGTTACCAAAGCAGATATATTCCTCTTCCCAAGATTTTGTCCTGGAAAATCGTGAACAAGATTGGTGACAGTGGACAGCCCTCGTGAAGTCCAACATACACATAATAAGCTTGTACCAATAATGGTTGCATAGCTTTACACAGCCCCTGGGGGTTTAGGGGTACCCCTAACCCTAGGGGGTTAGGTTGTACCATCAGTTTGGGGAATAGCATCATAAAGCCTTTCCAATTCCAAAACACAAGTGGCCTGGATGGTTCCATTCCCATAAAACTCTCGTTGGGTCTGGATGGGTGAGAATCTATCCCCTCCTTTTATGGTCTGGCTATAGCTGCCATGCTCCTCCTGAATCCGATGTCCAACAGTTGGCCCGAGCCTCTTCTCCAACTCTGTTGAACAAGCACTCTCAGAGAGGTCGAGTATTGTGATTCCCTCGTAGTTTTGAGCACACTCTCTGGTCCCCTTTCTTAAAAACTGAAACTTCTACTCTGGTCAACTGACAATGAAGATCCTAGCATCCTGAGTGGAGGACACAGGGCTCTTTCTGCTAGCTGACAATACTCTTATTTATGGTCTCCCAGGTCATGCACCAACTGGAATGGCTACTACTTGAACCACTCTACCGCATTATGGTGTTGGTATATAAGTATGCATTGGAGGGTTCACTTAAGAAACACTTATTTGTGATGCGTGTCCTGCTCTGTCTTCACTGTTTACTTCCTAGATGCATTTAGGGAAAGGCTTACAGGCTGGGCTAGAGGCTAAGCTGTTGGAGCAACTGTGTTTTCAGAACTACTACCGTTTATGCAAATTAATTTCAATATCCATCCATGCATCCATCCAGTATCGTAACCGCTTATTCCCTAATGGGGCCGCGGGGATACTGGAGCCTATCCCAGTAGTCAATGAGAAGAGGCGGGGTCACCCTGGACAGTCCACCAGTCCATCACAGGGCCACACAGAGACACACAAGGACCAACAACTACACTTACTCACACTAAGGGCAGTTTGGAGTGTCCAATCAACCTAACATGCAGGTTTTTGGATGGTGGGAGGAAGCCGGAGAACCCGGAGAGAAAACCCATGCAGACACAGGGAGAACATACAAACTCCACCCAGAAAGGTCCTGGTTCCCCCAAGGACTCGAACCTAGAACCCTCTGGCTGTGAGGCGATGGGGCTAACCACCACAAGACCACCCTGAATTTAAATATGTCAAACAGAAGTATCCCTTCAAAGTGCTTTAAGTAATACATTGGTTCTGAAACCAGAGCCTGGTTCTGGTTCTGGGGATCGGACCCAGCCGGGTCAGGACCGGACCCAATCATGTCATACCCCGTTGCGTAGGTCTTTTTCTCAGCTTTCAGCCAATGTGACCCCCGTCCTGCCCACCCCATGGGTATTTGGTCAGCAGGCCCCAGAGCTCAGCCAGGTCCCTCAAGCCCCATGTCTCTCCTTCAGGCCCTCACATAGGCCCAAGCCCATATTACAAAGAGCCAAATGGGGGAGCCAAGGGGCAGTAGGTGGCCCCCCTTAAAATTTCTTGAGAAACTTTCTAGGTTATTTAGTCAGTTTTGAATGAAAATGCCTTACAGTTTAATGCTGTCCATGTCAAACTTGCATATTTTGTTTATATATATCTATATATATATTTTTTTTTTCTGAAAGTGAACACTCATGATCCTGTCTCGTAGTTCACTGAGGAGAAGCTCGGCCAGGCGGAGAAAACTGAGCTGGACCCTCACTTGGATAACCTGCTAATGAAGGCAGATGGCACCAAAAACTGGACCGAGAAAATCTTGAGACAAACTGAGGTTCTCCTGCAACCTAACCCAAGTAAGTTTCTAAAGTTGGTCCCAACCGCCTCAAAAAATTGACCGCAAATCTAGTACATGATAGCATTTAGGACCGCATGCATGGGGATGGACCGAATGATGAGCGGTGTTTGTTTGGCTTGAACAGAAACAAATTTCCTATTACCTGAAGTTTAAAACTTCATCTGTTTTTCACCTTCTTTAGGAAGCAACACTTTTTAGAGAAAACACATTTATATTTCCTATTGAAAGGACGATCTGGGATACTTTATACTCGTCCACTTTTTTTAATATATATGTTTACTGAAGTGTTTTCCAAAGTTATCGGAACAATGACCAAAATTTTAAAAAATGGGCGGGTGAAAGGTGACTCTCTGTAAAGCTGCAGTTCATAAGTTACCAGAAGTTTTTCAAACATTTTTATAGAAATGAACGATTAAACATTTTCATTGGTTTAAATTAAATGTCCAAATCTCTGACCCACCTATTCCCTAACCCCACATGCTTCAGTTGACCACACTGGTAAGTACTTCCTTTATTTCCCAGAGTGATGGAGGACCTCATACATATTAACCTTAATAGCATCTTAATACAAAAAATAGTTGAATTATCAGTTATTCTACATGGAAAAACAAAATACACCGCAACACGTGTATGATTGGAAGCATCAGTTTCACACTTTTGAAACTGCCACTGGTAAAATAACAGGTTTCTATCAAGGTGTTGCAATACATATTTTAAGAAAATATCCACACCTTATATGATATCTAGGAGATATATTTGTAATTATTTTTGAAAGAAGAACCAGCTTGCCAAATCCAGACTAATAAACTTGAAGATTTAGAAATAAATGTAAAAAACTTGGATGTTATTTTATATATTTACAATTTCACAGTGGTGGGATGAATGGTAAAATTCTTTTTATCGCCTGTTATCAAGGTGCTCGAATAGAAGGGTTCATTTATGACAAGCTGGACAAAAAGCTTCCCTCCAGGATGACGAACGCAGAACTGTTGGGCCAGTTCATGTTGGATGCAGCCTCCGAATTTGGTACAGAGACTCCATACGGTGAGTAGACTGCACTCTTAGGATGTTATCTGCTTTAGAATAAAAAATAACAATGCATCTGTGAATTACAATTACAAACAATCATCACAGAAATGACTAATTACATTCATTACAATGATTGTAATATTTGAATAAAGTTCTCTTAAGAATTGTCTTCTATTCTATAACTTAGGGATCCAATTATCAATTTGTATTCAAATTTCAAGATATGAGTAATGTTTTCTTAAAACTGCTGAATAGAACTGGCTCACTGGTTCACTGTTATTCATTGACCATGACTACAGAGATAAAGATCCTTTGTGTACCAAGATCTTTTTTTTTCAATACGTTTTTTTTATGTTTTCTGAGAACAAACTTCAGATAATATAAAGCAAACTGTATATTATACTCTATTGGACATTGGAAATTATTAATGCTGATGGGAACCCAATCTCCTCTATTGTTTAAGGTGACTGATTTCAAACGGAGCCTTTCGAAAAAAAAGACAAATGTTTTATTACATATCTTTTGAGGTACACTTTTCCCATAAGAATAAATGATAAAATTAATGAAAAAAAGACAAATACATAATTTAGTGAGTAACTGCAAATAGATACTTCATTTATCTCAAAGAAAAATTTTGAAAAAGACAACAGTTTTATTACATATCTTTTGAGGTACACTTTTCCCAAAAGAATAAATGTAATTGAAATCCTCCCAGTGCCGTATATATATTTATAGACTTTTATCACATGTATAGTGTTGTTTTTCTACCCGTAGGCAGCACCCTGATCACTGTAGGAGAGTATCAGAAGCGACTGGGCGGAGCGGAGCGAGAATTCCTCCATACCTCCGCTTCCTCCTTCCTCTCTCCTCTACGCAACTTCCTGGAAGGAGACTGGAGGACTATATCGGTAAGTGTGGATGAATGATGGGCTGAGGTGGAGAAGAATGCCTCAACAAAACAGCACTGATTCTGGTTTTGTGCTCTCGATCTCGAGGTTTCCTGACTGTGCCTTTTTAAATGGAAGAAATCCTGTGTTGGAAGCTTCATTTCCTGCAGCATAACTTCTGTTTCATTGTGTTTCCAGAAAGAGAGGCGGCTCCTCGAGAATCGACGACTGGATCTTGACATCTGCAAGGCTCGCCTGAAAAAGGCCAAACAGGCAGAAGCGAAAGCCGCCGTGAGATTAAACCCCACTTTCCTATTCCTTTCTTTCTACTATATTCAGTTTTACCAGCTGAGATGGTTTTTATGACAAAAAAAATAATGAATATGATGTCCCGTAATTTCAAAATATATATATTTTTAGTGTGATTATACAGAAAAAATTTAAAGATTGCATATAAAATGGTGGCTGAAAGAAAAAATAAAAATCTCCTTTTCCTTTCCAATATCTAAAGTCAAAAGTGATTCAATAATTAGATGTTTAAGGCGACAACAAGACATTTGTTTTTCCCTGAATTACCCTCGCAGGATCAATAATGTTTATTTTATCTTTTATCTTATTTAGCCTAAATTATGCAGTGAATTGCTGCCACTGTTATTGAGAGTGAAACTAATGGATCCTCTTAAAAGATCTTTATGATGTGCTGGATAACTTCTAACTATGGATGATATAGAAAGTATAATGTAATCAAATCTAAAAGTGGTCCAACAAAATATGAGAGGGTGACTCGGGTATTGTTTATAGAATTATTTAACAAGTGTGTTTAAAAAATGAGAGCCGCAGTGTACAACACACAGTAGTACACAGACGGGGCTGAGAAACGCACAATACTAAAAATATTGTTGTCTTAGCTAATGTGCCATTAACTTGTCTTGCCAACTTGTTTTTTCTCTTGCTTGCTTTTATTATAGAATGCACCAGATTTTCAAGAGACAAGACCGCGGAATTATGTTCTCTCTGCCAGTGCATCAGCGGTAAGTGTGTGTGTGATGTGTGTGTGCATATGTATAGGTATGGGTTTGTATTTCTAAGGCTATAGTTGAGTAATTGGCACACTAGTCCTGAAATACAAAAGAAAGGGAGTAAAAAGGGCTTTTCTACGGTTACTTTTACTTAAATTAGTTCTCACCTTAAAAACGTATTGATAAAACAATCATTACATAGACCAGACTTGGAGGAGAAAAAAAGATGAAAAAGTTGTTTTTGTTTGTTGAAAATGAAGTGAATTGGATTGTGTATTGTGTTAAGTTAACATTAATGAGTCAGTCACAGAACAAAATGCAGTTACTTTTTATTTTTACATTTTTTAGGTCGGGAAAGGAACGAAAAGTCTACTATTTATTATGCTGAAACTTGCTACCTGTTATGCAAAAATTAATTCGAAGCAAGTTTTTTTTTTTCTTCACTTTGAGGTCCAAGTGCAGTTAGCAGTATATAAAATTTTAAATAATTAAAAAAAAGAAACTAAATCTTTTGCTAGAATCTGATCAACTCCAACTAAACAGGGACCCTGATTAGCACGGGCTCCTCAGAAAAGTGGGATAGCAGCAGTTGGAGGTGCATGATGATGAATGAATGAATGAATGATTTCCAGTGTGAAAAATTGCCGATGAGGACAGAACTCGCACAATAGCTGCCACGTGTCTTATTCCTGTCGTCTGTGACGGTGCTGTATGCCTGATACCAACTGAAGTGCAATATGAGCCACCTTCACCTTCAGTTTATGTCTCACTCTGACTGACCCAGCTGGAGAGCGGCTGGGAGAGCTGGGATCTGACAGCCGAGCCCAGTGTGTCTGCAGAGAGGAAGGTTGTGTATCTATCGGGAAAAGAATCTCAGGATCGTTCTGTGTTTTGATCCCAGTGTGGGTAGAATAGTCGTCTTTAGTCTGTCCCCACTTGTTATTGTGTTTGCGGAGAGAATTCCCATCCCTTTTTCTAGCCGTTGAGACCTAGCTGTTTGTTTTTTGTCGCGATTTAGTGGTAAGATATGAGAAAATTCCAAGCTCTTTGTAACTTTGTGTACAAAATGAGTCCATCATAAATGGATATAAATTAACATAGTGAGCCGTAGCACAGCTCCCGTTAACAGTCATTCAATGGCAGCGTTTGTAGAATGTAGTGCAAAGCTTATATTGAAATCTGTAAATATTAATTTTCCTGCAGTCTTTTTCCAGCGATTCCCTCCGTTTTCTGGGTTTTTGGAGCTTTAGAGTTTATTTTTACCATCACAATGGCCGACTGCTTGTGCTGACAACTTAACGAAGCAAATTGAGCTTTTCATGTTTGAACGCTGTTACAGATGCAGCAGATAGATGCTCCCTGTTTTCTTTTTTTTGTGTCTCTCTGGCATATTATTGTCAGTTTTGAGTTGGAAAGACGAAGGATGAAGGATGAAGGAGGAGTTAAGTGAAGAGCTGCTCAGGAAGAGGAAAATGTCAAATTTTCACCATCTTTTACTAACTTTGCTGATCAATCCAAAACTTCAATTTTCCATCTGACCTTTTTTTACTTTAATGGCCACATTGGAAAACATTTCAGTCTTCACGGGGTCCACTGTGCTCACGTCTACGTCTCCGTTACACAAACTGGTCTGAAACTCACAACGCAGACTCGACAGGGTGGAAAACTACCATGATACAGTGATGGGTTTTTTTGCCTTTAGATATTTTAGACGATTAAAAGTCCGCTCTTCTCATCGGCCTGTCCAGTTCTGAGTCAGCTCTGACTCACAGTGATGAAGAGGAAAATCTGCCTTAGAACTGAGCTGAAATGCTCAAATTCCTTTTAAAAAATTGTTTTCTTTGGACCTTTCCTTCAGCTAAGGCACCATTTAAATGTTACTTTGATCAAGGGAATACACTTAGTGGAGTACACGACAATAATAAAAGTAAATAAATGCATATAAAACGAAGACAAGAAGAAGAAGAACTTTGGTTAATAAAGCACCTTTCAAGGAACTACAGGCTGCTTCACAGATGTCGAGGAAATGGCTAAATGGCTAATTGTTTAAAGAACATGGTGAAAAGAACTCGAGGGCAAGAGATTTCTTTTTTTATATTCAACTTCAGTTCATAGGCTGATGTCGCTTGCTGTTGAATGAGTAATATGTGGAACTCATCACACACGTGTCAAACTGCAGCTTTCTAGAATATCACTGTTCTTCTGATTTGATATTTGTCTCTAAAGAGGTCAGACTGACGTTTTTTTCTTTCTTTTCTTTTTTTATACACTGCCTCTCGTAGCTGCTGAGTGAGGAAGTCGACAAAGTGAGTTCCTTATTCAACTGCCTGGTCTGCCTGGTTGCATGAATAAAAAATCTCTCTGATTTAAGCTAAATTCTATTTTATTGAGTAAATGTATTTCTTCTTGTCTCTAAAAGGCAGAACATGAACTGCGCGTCGCTCAGACGGAGTTCGACCGACAAGCTGAGGTCACTCGGCTGCTGCTGGAAGGCATCAGCAGCACACACGTGAGTCTCACATGTCTGACCGGCGAGTCCCCGCTTTGCGATTCTTCCGGAATCCCGTGGCTCTGGAGCTGTGGGGTCTGGATCTGTGGTTGGGAGTCTCCTGCTGTCCCCGTGTTCCTGCTCTGCTACAATTACAGCCACTGTCCATAGCCTTATTGCTATCATTACTGCTATCATTATCATTAGTATCAATATCATTGCCATTTTTCATCCAGTCTTTGTGTTACTGTAGGCTGCCTCCCTCTGTCCTTCCCTCTCTCTCTCTCTCTCTCTCTCTCTCTCTGTCTGTCTCTCACCCCCAACCGGCCTAGCAAACGGCCGCCCAGCCTTGAGCCATGGTTCTGCTCCAGGTTTCTGCCCGTTAAAAGGCGGTTTTTCCTTCCCTGTGTCGCCTAGTGCTTGCGCTTGGTGGGATTTGTTTTTTTTCTGTAAATAACGTCAGAGTAGGGTCTGACCTGCTCTGTCTACGGTTCGCTGCCTAATCGTTCACAGCCTAACCCTCTCATTTCTCCTCTCCTCGCAGCTCAACCACCTGCGTTGTTTGCAGGACTTTGCAGAGGCTCAGGCCACTTACTATGCTCAGTGTCACCACTACATGCAGGACCTCCAGAGAGAGCTCCACAGGTGAGGGGTCACCATCTTGTTGTTTACCCAGTGGATTGTAGGCTACAGTTTTAAATTACAAAATTAAAGGGACTTAAAGGGACATTGTGTAGCTAAAAAAATCTTGGTGGGGCTGGTGTGCCAATCGATTTCCCTGCCTAACCCAGCACATCCATTCAAATTAAGTCGCATTTAACCATTTACAGCTATATTAGGTCTTATTCTAGAAAGGAACAGTATGAAATACAACACAATTTCCATATTTGTCACCAGGAAAACAAAAAAAGTACATTGGCTGTCTCACAGGCTGTTAGCCACGACTTACGCCGGAACCAACTCCTGCTAAAAGGCCGGTTGTAGGATTTAAATAGATTTCTGGCTTGTCAGGTCCCAGCTCCTTGACTGTAGCAGGGGTGAAAATTCCAGGAGCCCAAAAGCCATTCATTTTGGCAATGCTGATTGGCCAAATAATTTCTTAATTTTCCCTACAACTACATACAATTGGTTATTACGCTGCACTTCAAAGGCACTTTGAATGAGCCCAAGAAGATAAATTACACATTCTGTGGGTGGAAATGCACTGTTGAATGAGTCAATTGGTGGAAGTGTTGTTTTAATAATTCATATTACATGTAGCCACATATTATTAAGTAAGTACACTGTTGTGTAGTATTTTAAGTATTTTATAAGCTAAAATCATTTTCTTCATCCATAAATGTCCTAATTTGGTGTAAAATGACCTCTATAATGATCTGACTTTTCCTAATAAGCAAAGAATTTTCCATCTGTATGTACACAGGATGGGTTTCCATGGCGTTCCGCCATTTTGAAAAACTATAATTATAGTACGGACATAAAGCACTAGTCTGCCTGTCTTGTTAATCAATACAAACTAACATGGCAACGTAATTTGCTATCTTCTTTGATGAGTAATGAGTAATTACATGCTCACACTACTGATTCAATGCAGTTTGTCATTTCTTTAAAATGATAAATGTCATTACCAGAGAAAACTGGATGATGTGGAAGTCATGTTGTCTTTACTTTTTGATCCACGACGGCTACCGTAGCAGAGCACTATTTGTTAGAATGCAAAATACAATTTTACCATTAGATGGGAGAAATTCCTACACCATGTCCCTTTAAAATACCACACAATGTCCCTTTTTAAGCAATATAAGCTGTTTATTGTAGGAATAGAGGCCAGTTTACATTAAAGGCCGGCTTTGACTGATGTTAAATCTACAAACCAGAGTTTTTAAATGAGCGGTCTGAAAACACTAAGCTGTTTCTTTTGTTAAACTGAATCCGTGCAGATGTTCTAACACCGCTGGCACTTCCCACTCGACGGCCGCTGGCTGTCCCAGCCCCGTGTCCTCCGCTCTGCCGCCTGGGCTCTCCTCCCCCGGGACCACCGTGGCCCCTTCGTCCAGCGAGAGGTCCACCACGCTGGCCATGGAGAACAGCCAGCTGCCCGTCACAGGCACCCGGAAGGCCAAGGTCCTGTACGACTACGACGCCCACGACGCAAACGAGCTCTCCCTTTTGGCCGATGAGGTACAGTAGCAGAGTGAGAGGAATCCTATATTTACATCTGTCACACAAGGAACCAAATATGACTTGATGATTTGATAACCAGGTACCAAAAGCCAAAGAACACCTGAAGCATTTCAGATTTTCATCCTATAAAATTTGAAGAAAAAAAACAACAACTTAACTGAGTTTTTAATGGCCACAAATATTTGATTAACAAGTTGTAACTAGCATTTCATCCCTGACGTTAGCTGTATTTTCCTGGTTTAAAAAAATGGTAGCAGTGATTTATTTTTTTCCTCTTTTGAAACATCTTCGTAGATCCACTTTGATACAAATAGTTGTAGCAACCATTAAGAGTGATGACGGATTTTAAAATACTTTTTAAAGAAGAGACTTTGTAATAAAGATATTAGGTTAAAAAACACTTTGCAGCATTTAACTGTTGTACATTTAACTTTAACTTTTTAAAATATTGCCTGACAGAGGGACGTAAGCAACCTTAAAAGAAGTTTGGTTGAAGTTAAAATGATTGGATCATAGGATTAGCTTCTTTGCAAAATGTAAACAATCTGTTTCCAGCTTCTTCCTACAGTCCAAAAAATGAGATGATGCTTCAGTGTGTAGCAAGCCTCTAAAATCTATGACCAACACCTTCCATTTAGTTGATTAGCAGCATGCAGTTTATATGCTGAAGAGGGGATGTGAACTGATATCAGTGTCATAAAGAAATAAATACATTTGAGAATTATCAGCAGAAATCAGAGCAGCACAGATAAAATTACACTTTAAAAAGACAACTGTAAAGGAAGACAAATATGAGTAGAGCTACTGTAAAAAGCACATGCAGTACTTACTTACTTTGGAGATAATCTTTCTGGATAGGATTCATAATATTGTCAGGAACCATCCTAAATAGCTGGGAATCGCTGCATGTTCTGCTTTTATTCCCATTTGGCCCAATGCCACACCACAAAAACCCTTTGAGGAAGTCAAAACCAAAAATGATGAACCATCATATTAACAGAACCAGGATTAAGAACACATTCATGTCTCTCGTCTTTTTTGGAAAACTGTTTCACTGTAGTAAAAGCTGTGTTCAAAGTCGCCTTAAAACATCTGGAATTGTTTGTTTTTTTCTTTTCTAGCTTATTACAGTATACACTGTGCCAGGAATGGACCCGGACTGGTTGGTTGGAGAGAGAGGAAACCAAAAGGGCAAAGTACCGGTCACATACCTGGAACTGCTGAGCTAAAGGTTCCAGCAACATGCGCTCTTAGGATAACCTCTTTTTTTTTTGTTTCTTTTTTTTTGTTTCTCACTCATGAGCATGTGGTTCTGTCGGCAATTATCATGAAAGGAAATTGTAGCAAACTTGTGTAAGTGTAAGGTCATTAGTTTAAAATAAAGTGGCCGTTCATAAGCAATTTCCTCCCATTCCATTTCCCGTTGTGTATCCTGAGAATGAGAACAAAATGTGAAGTCTGTGTTTTGTTTGTTTTTTTGGCACAGCATATTGTCCGTTTTTGTGTGAAAATTTTGACACTTTTTTTTTCTCTCTATGTCCAAAATAAAAGATATTCTAGTATATTGTAATAAAGATGATTCCAGTCACTACTCAACACAAGGGTCTTAACTTGAAATCAGCATTTTGCTGAAGCCACTATTCATTATTTTACTTCAATCCCTCCATTTTTTTAATCTATTTTTTTCTAACCCTTTTTTCCAAACCAGGGGATAGAGGTGGGTTACACCCTTAACTGGTTTATAGTACATCATAGTTCTCCTTTCTGCCTAAAAGGGCTTAAAGGTGGGATTATGGTACTGTGTTATTGATAAATTCTTAAAGATTCAGATCTTTGACTCTAAGTTTGCACTTTTATGGCTAGTTTCTGTAGAGTGAGAACTACAGTTTTTGTTACGTTGTTAAAGGCAGGAGTTGATGGACACCTTAGTATAGCTAAACTATTCAGCCTCCTATAAATGTTTGTGCACAGGCTGGAATTGTCCGAAATAAAAGACCTGTTAAATGTTGAAACTGAAGTTTTAGCTGGAGGAAGTGTTTGCAAGTGTTAAATACCACTTTCTTCTTATGTAGACAAAACATACTAGTGTTAAGCATGACATTTATGTTTTTTTTTGTTCCGTTTTTCTTTTCAGCAACTAATGAATTTGGAATGTGGTGTCGTATTTGGCTAAAGATTTTCATTTCCTATCTGAGGACGTATGATGCAACTTGTAATTAGGATTTGTTGGGTGACTTTGAAGAGATCCAAGTCATACTTATGTCTGACATAAGATTTTCCAATATAACGATGTGTGCCTACATGATGGATCCCAGATTTCACAATCATCTCAGTAGTGACAACTCATTGTTTTTTGTTTTTTTTTCCTAGAATACGTTTACTGTCTTGGAACGTCTTTTTTTTTTTGTAGTTAACTTACCACAGACTGTTCACAACACATTTACTTTAATTGAATCCATAAGCACTGACCATGGTGATTAGTTGTTTAATTAAAAAAAAATAATTACAAAATCATTTCAACATTTAGCAAATTTTCAAAACTGTAAATTTATGAATTTAGTTAACTTTATCTGGTCAGGATTTGCATGTAAACTTTCCATAAACCTAATTTGACATCAGTTTTTCAATCCAAATCGATCCATCAAGGCTTTACAATCAGGCTTTATAGCGAAAATTGAATTATTACATTTGTTCCTCTTGGAAAAACCCAATGCTTTGTATTTGTGCATATTTGTGGAAAAGAGGTTGAGGTTTAAATTTGTTTTTCAGTGTGTGCGTTTTAAATTCATACATGTTAATTTATAGTGTTTTTAAAATGTTTTTATTTGAACGACATATGCAGATGTCCGACTGAGATCCCATTCTCACCTTATAACTTATGGTGTAATGTGCAATAAACAAGTGTGTCACAGCAAGTTCGTCTGTCTCTTGAATTTCAACATCAGGGAAAAAAATATCAGACTGAAAGAAACTGAATATACAGTCAAATTTGATTTGGATGGTTTCATAGTTAGACTTCATTAAAGCAAAGATTTTCTTTATGGATCACAAACTTTGCATGGAAAGTGGTGTGAAATTCTATAAATTAGGCCCCTACTCTAGGTAAAATTCATGATACTTAATTTAATTTTTAGGGATAGTCTTCAAAAGGAGCGTTTAATCTTAGCCTGATCTGTGAAAAGTAAATATAGTGGACGCCATAGTGGACTATGGTGCTGTCACTACATACAACAGTGATTAAACAAAGTGAACGAGACTGTATCAAATAATGTCAGCAATAACTTCTCAATTTTTTGGATATATGGCAAACGAACCAGCTAATTTGAATTAAGCAACTATATATCTAAATACTTTTAAGTGAAAGCAGCAAAGACTAAATGGCTATGATGAAATCTCAGGTTTTTCATACAACAAAACCATTTAAAAAAAATAATAAATGCAATAATGTGGCCAAATGAAAAATTAAATCATAAAAAGCGTTTATATTAATTTGGTAGGACACGGCATTTCACCCAACTTTTGGTTTATTTACCCCAGTAGGCATTTTAGTGCGGTTTCATCAAGTTTGATTTTGCCATCACAGGAATCTCTTTATCCAGATTAAATTCAGACAAAGAATAAAAGCAGGAACTACACCTCTAGGCACAGAAGTATTTTGTTACTTGTGGTTTTATTTATGCCTGTAGTAGTTTTAGGAGCTAACATCAAATTGTGTTATTGAACAAAACTGTACATAATGGAATGGTAAGTGACATTTCTTCTTCCGTTATGTCCCCACTGAAAATCCAGTGGTGGGGAGCAACAATAATTAGATCCAGGAAGGATATAAATAAATAAAAGCAGAGGTATGGTTACAAAATAATGAGATTTTATTGAAAGTGGATTAACAAAGAGGTGGTAATGATACCAGCCCAGAAACCAACCTACCTCTACAGGTTGGTTTCTGGGCTGTGGAAAGAGAAAATTTAAGCCAAAAAACAGAATAAAAAAATCCTCTCTGTGGCCCAAAGGCCCATTCTACAAAACAACACACTACAATGACTTCCACAATGCTGCAAATACTCACCAAGATACAAAAGCTGAAGGGGGGAAAAAACAGAAAAAAAGCTCCCTTCACACTTTCTGTTTAACATGGTAGTTTCCAACTCCAAAAGGCGGTCACCACTCTCCTCTGTCTTCCTCGAGAGCACTGACCTGCCCTTCCTTTCTAGAGTTTTAGAGTTGATTGTCTCCAGGTGCCACCAGGAGAAGACGAGGAGCAGCTGGAACCTGCAATGAAAGAGAAAAACACATCTACACACACATAGACACACACAGACACACACACACACACGTCCACAGTGTGTACCACTTCCAAATATTTACCTTATTCATAAGTTTTTTTATATCTAAAGCACTTTTTGAATATAAATATGAGCAAAAAACAGTCACGACATATAGATGAATTCCTCAAAACATTACATACTGGACATACCTGTAAAACAGAAGAAAAAATAGGAAAGGGGGTAAGGAGAGATGCACAGGAAAGGACCATGTCACAGACTCTAACCCAGGTTTTAAAAGTGTTAGCTAGTGTTCATAAGTGTTATATCTGACTTTTCTTTTATGTAAAAAAGAAAACTAAAGTGTTGCATTCCTCATTTCTATCTCTTTTTTCTATTGTTCTTATTGGAAACCCATGAATCTGAAAGCAGTTCTATTCAACTTAAAGTGTTCAAGTTAAATAAATAAATAAAATTCAGTTTGAAATTACTTAAGCTGATCGAAAACTAAAAGTAAAGTGTTGCATTCCTCATTTCTATCTGTTCTTTCTATTGTTTTTATTGGAAACCCATGAATCTGAAAGCAGTTCTGTTTAACTTCAAGTGTTCAAGTTAAATAAATTAATTAAATTAGGTTTGAAACCCATAACATGTTAAGGGATTCTGTACAGAAGAAACACTGTTTAAAAAGATTTTTTTAGCTTTTGTTTGAATGCACGCCCAAATTTACACATACCTGCATGAATTATTGATATGAAGGTTATTCCTGCTGCATCCTTTCATTATATTTATATATTTCTTTTTTAAAATCACCCTCACACAGAAACATGTTATGCCTTATTGGATGCCCTGGTAAATTACACAACTCCTTCTATCATGTCCCCAATATTAAAATCCAGGAATGTGGAGCAACAATATTTAGATCCAGGAAGGAAATAAAAACAGAGATATGGTTACAAAATAATGAATTTTTTTATTGGAAGTGAGTGGACACCAGTCTGTCAGCGTACAGGTATCGTCCCAAACGACACGCGACATACAGGAAGTGGGTCATCGTGACATTTATTTACACGTTCATTTTACTTCAGCACTATGTAAATGTGATAGGATCCTTTTCTCACTATTTTCTTTCAGTCTCTTCACTAATTAAATCAAAAGTTATTTGGACAATCATGACTAGACTGTTTGCACTCTTATCCATGCACAAAAAAGATATTTAGCAGATGTATTGTTGTATTGTATTGTATTGTTGTATTGTATTGTTGTATGCAGATATACTACACTAGGAAGCACAGTAAAATGTGCTAAATGCAGGTAAGACCAGATGTCATGGATGTAAAAGGATAAATAAAGTGAGGTAACAATCAAATAAGTAGTTCTCTTGATCTATTGGTCATATAATTGGATATTTGATTTATCCGCAATTTATTTGAAAAGATTCTAAACTCTTGCTTGCTAACAATGCATCAGACGGGGATACTGAAAATGGACTGATGAATGTTCGCCCGAAATAATAAACACAATTTATGAACTGCAGTGTATGTGTATAAAACTCCTATGTTTCTTGCTTTTTCACAACACAAAACATCTTTTTCTCTTTCTCTGAACGGTCAACAGTAATGACTTCACCACTCACTCACTAGATCCCACAAACCATAATCAAAAATGAACTCTCGATAAATAGGTCACGTCAATAAATTCAACAAAAACAAAAGTAAATTCAAGCTTTAAATCATTTGTAGAATGTTATATAAAATTAGAGAAAAGGAATAGAATCAAATAAAAATTATACATGATATCAACTCGTTTTGTTAATGTTTCAAGAAGAGGTTCAACTACATAAAACATAACTCTCGTTATGTTTTGGAACCTCCTGAATTATAAAATGAGCAACATTGTTTACTTATGTTACAGAAAAGGTCACTTAGTGTTGACATAGGTGAAGCAGCAGCAACAGAATACCAATGTGCATATTCATACATCCCGAAAATACTAAATGACAAAAAAAACTGTTGAGTACAACAAACCCATTTTGTGAAATAAATATATCATGATCATAATTTAAATAAATATTGAAATATTTTGCCAGATTGTGAGTTAAAGTGAAACGTCATATCACTTAGTGATCATAAAGCTTCTCAAAATATATTCAAAGTGCATAAAAATGCAGCAAAATGAGACAAAAATGAACAAAGTGGTGGCTCTATGGAACAGATGCTGACATATCAGTTTTTTTACTTGTTTTTTTTTTTTGTTTTTTTTTGACAGTTCCAAACTCTTATTTAAGGTCTATTTCGTGTGGTCCTGAATCCACTGACACAGCCTGACGCAGTAGGCCTGCGGGCTCACGGTGGAGAAGGATCGCCCGGGGTGTCTCAGCCTCTTCCACATGTGCTCCAGACGCTTTTTAAAACTGTAAACGGTGAAAATGTCAATGATTCCGATGAAGTAGCGCTGCTCGGGGCCGTCGATCACGTGGAGGGGGTTCTTCAGGTTGGGAAGCAGGCGTCGGTTCTGGGCCTGGAAGTCCTGCAGCTCGCCGGTTTGGGGCTGGGCCTGGCCCCGGCCCCCCCGGGGGGAGCTTTCTTCAGCGTTTAAGCGCTCGGAGGCAGTCGGGGAGTCAGATGTAGGCATGGGGGAGTCGTATTCCGGGACGGCTCCGGGAACGGCGTGGACCGGGCTGGAACCCGAGTACACGGATCTAAAATGAAAACAGGAAAAAAAACGGTCAAATAAAATAAAACACACAATCGTGAAGATTTCACTATACTATGGGCTGTTGTTTGAACAATATAGATATACAGATGACAAAAACTCAGTAAAACAAAAACAACTTTGTTTTTATTAACGTCTATATAACATCTACATATTACCCTGATAAAATCTACTTTACTGTTAAAAGAAGCATTAAATGAAACCTCTACTTGACACAACCATTATTTCCATTATCCTGATGGGAAAAATAGAGAATAATTTTTTGGGTGGGAAAGACTTTTAAAGGGAGCTGAAGGCCGGACTTTCTTTAAACAAACTCAGGCTCAATTCTTTATCTGTAAAGGATTTGCTCAAATATGATGGAAATTAACAATAATGATCTTATTGTTGTCAGATCAAAATGGTTTTATTGGTAAAAAAAACACTTTGCTCTCAGATCAGAGTTTGGAAAACAAGAGTTGAAACTTGTACTTGGACTTATTAGCTTGTGTTTCTCCTTCTCTTTTTAGCTTTGAGCTACTGTGATTCTCTCTTTTTTTCCTCTGAAACCCACCTGCAAAAGACAGGAGGTGTCACCCAGAGGTTTCTTTCTGTTAAAAGTAATTATTTTCTTTCCAAACATGCATGATCAGGGCAGAGGATTGGATTCAAGTGAATAATCATTGCAATTTGTTATCATCTTTAGCAAGGACAGTTTTTTTATTTGCGCTCTTCACGAATTCTACTAATTTGGAATTTATTGAACTAGTTTTTAGTCCATCTATTCATGCATCCATCCAGGTTTGAGCCTATTCCGTAGGCTGAAAGATGGAGTACATCCATGACAACTCACCAGTCCATCACAGCAGAGTTAGTCCAAGATTTGTAATTATGAGTAATCCATGTAATCAGATATTATCAATATTACGTCACTCATTTTAACAACCCTATTTACAAAGAGTAAAATGTATTTAAATGTTGTTTTGTAGTGTTTGGTTTCAGGTTACTTCCCTACTTGTGTGTGACATCAGAGTTAGACATTTTAAATGTGCTTTATAACATGCAGGGAACTCAAGGCAAATAAAAAATGGCCGCCCACCCTGAGCCATGGTTCTGCTCCAGGTTTCTGCCTGTTAAAAGGAAGTTTTTCCTCGCCTGTGTCGCCTAGTGCTTGCTCATGGTGGGAATTGTTGGGTTTCTGTAATTAACTTCAGAGTGGGGTCTGACCTGCTCTGTTTGGAAAGCGCTGTGAGACAACTGTTGTTGTGATGTGGCGCTATAGAAATAAAATTGAATTGAATTGAAATAGAAAAAGAAAAAGAAAAAATCCACTGACTTTTTGGCTCTGACGATGAGGGAGGCGAAGGACAGGCTCTGGTGGCGCTCGTCGTGGTGCAGAGGCTGATGGGCCAGCAGGAAGCTGTAGTCCAGCACGTTTAGCGTGCACAGGAACTGGGTGTCGATCTCCACCTGCCGTAGGAGCCACGGCCGCTGATGGTCTGCACAAAAACACGACACACACACAGACTTACAGCGAACCACGGCCAACAAACCCTACCGGACAAAAATAAATAAATTTTCATGTAAAATTATGATTCAAAGATAGAAATGTGGAAAGATAAACTGAAGATCCTCTTACAGAAAGTCTTGATGGACAGTTTAACATCTCAAATAAACTGAATTTACTTCTACCATACTTTTACTTCTACCATTCTACCATACTGTTTGATAAAGTACCTAACTTGTGCGTGCCTCTCTTATACTTTAAAAGTGGATAACCTTTAAATATACAATTGAGATACTGAAACTGATTTTAAAGACATAAGAGAACCAATTTATTTAAATTGACCATGCGCTCCTGGATACCCCATTAAGTCCATGTCAGAATTTGAAGCTGAGGAGATTACTAAACCTTGAGTCCATCTTCAAAAACTAAAGCTAAGCTCTAGTAAGCGTTGTATACATTCATTTAACAGAGCTGATGTTAGAGAAGTAGAGCGGGGGGATAAACCCATCTAATTTGAACAGGGCAGATTCAAAGATTGAAATAAAATGATGATGGAACATTAGAGATTGTTTATAACTTCACATCATTTTTAAATGAAACATTTCAGATTTCTATATGTTTGTCAACTGCTATTTTTTGTTTTAATTAACTTTTGTTATTAATTTAGTTTACTTTTCCTTGACATTTTGTAGAACAAATTGTGTAATAAAAACTGTAAAATATGCATGAAAAATGACTAAAGTAACTTAAATTCTGCATACATTGACATTCTTACCCAAAGTAATGACTTGCCCCTCGAAGTTGAGATCCTTGAGCACAACGATGACCTGGCAACCCTCCGGGGCCGGCTCTGTCCAGCGACTGACCTCACAGCCCTTGATATCATACCTGGAAAAAACAAAGCATGCCTCAAACCACACACACACAAAACACATCATTACTGTAAATGTTTATCAGTTGTATTTTTCTGTTCCATTATTGGTGATCCAAACATACCTGGCACTGATTCGCTCATCTGGATAAAACACACTTTGCATAACGATAAAGTATTTCTGCAAGGAAGACATGAAAAAAATAAATTCATGCCGTCTAATGTCATCTAAATCTAGTTGAAGAAGAGGAAAAACTGTGGACTGTACCTTATGGTTACGAGGGATTTGGATTCTGTGAACCCCTAAAAAAAAGAATAGAAATATTTTAATTGATAGCATTATAAAACTTTTAAAAATTTTAAACAGTTTTTTAATAATAGCTCAGAGGTAATAAGAAGGTAAGAAGAAATAATAAATGCAAAGAAATTCAAAGCATTATTTTACAACTATATTATACTATATTATACATTCAGTATAGGTGACAGTGGCTGAAAGTAGCTAAAAATATAGTTAAATATAGATTGTAAATTATGTTAATTTACAATATCTATACTGCTTATCCCCACTGACGATAAGCGGTATAGATATTGTAAATTAACATAATTTACAATCTTTTAGACTTATTTTTAAAAAGCAACAGGGAAAGCGTTTTACAACTAAAATACATGTCGTTATTTTTTTGGCACTTAGCATTAATGAAAGTAATTTCCTCTTTCAGTCAGTCAGTCACTTGTTTAGGTAATAAAAGGGACCTCTTGCATGCTCAGAACTGGGTCGATAGGCTATATCTGAACTGAACTCATCTGGATTTAATTTCAATAAGGACTGTTTCACCATGAAATTGAATTACAGTCATTCTGAACTACATACGGTATCCCCAACAATGATTATAAAGTGTCTTATTTGTTTCAGTTTTTACTTCAAATTGTTTAAGCAAAAGTGTTTTGTCATCCAGAAATATATTACTGAGCTTGTACAATTTAGCAAAATAGTCTAATACTGAGCTGGAGGCAAAACTAATCTAAAAATTAATCTAATGCCCTGCATGGCATATGTTTTCAAACTGATCGATTCTTAATAAAGTGGAAAGGAACTAATATTCAGAACAATAGTGTTCTAATCAGTTAGGTGATCCATCTGTGATTATTCTTTGGTATTTTGATATACAGTATTTGGTATATTGGTAGGCTTGTTTCCGTGTGTCTGTGTGTGCTTTACCTAAGAACTTGACTAGCAGTGAATGAGGGTAGTTCTTCAGGTGCTCCATGTAGACCTTCAGGTTGGCTAACAGGAATTTGATTTCTCTTTTGTTCTGGGTCTTCAAAAAGAAGCGTTTATCATTCCTAGATGTGTAAAAGCAGATAACAAATTAACCTCTTTTTCCATTACTAAAACCACAGCCTGACATTTGCCTCTTTGACTATACAATATAGAAGCTGTCTACATAATAACATTGGACTGGAGTGTAAACTTTATTAAAAAAAAAAAACTTAGGTACACATCTGTATGAATCCATGTTTAATTCAATCAGAATTCCAGACTAAAGTGTTAAGTATAAGGGAGATTTTATACTTAATTTTATGTTTTCAGTACTTCCAAGTGATTTTGCAATGTAGTACTGTATTTTGTGTCTAAAACTTTTTGGTGAGCTAAGAGTCGACTTACGTGAGGAAGAAGTCGGCCTTGCTTTTGGAGTTGCTGATGAACTGAAGGTAGCAGCTTTCAGAGCAGAGCGACTGCTGATACTCATTTTCTGTCACTCCCAAGGAGCCGCGCAGGCTGGCGAAAACGTTGCCGGCAAACGTCTCCATGGTGAAATTCTACAAACCCACACACAAATGTCTTAATGTGCAAACTCCACCCAAACAATTATCCGTTTTAGAAAATCTGACGGAAGACGACTGTTTCTTACCTCATGAACCTTTGTGACCTCTTGTCTAAAATCATCATCTGAAAGTTCAGTCTAGATTAGAACAACAGAAAAAAGACTTAAGTGAAAAATAACGGAACTCATTAACCGGACCATTTAAAATGAATCAATATGGCCAATGTTAAGAGTTGTGAGTCCTTAACAAATAGCAATAAAAAGGACTCCATTTTCAAAAGCGGCATTAAGACTTCTTTGCATTCTGAAAGACTTTGTTTGGGACACATGTGTGAAACTGTTCATTTTATGTGACTTAAACCATACGTTTACTTTGAAAATCCACAGTTTCACGTTATTAGTTTGCTATATACAATCATTTTTCTTGGCCAAACATTAATGAATTTGGGTTGTCTGTGTTGAATTATTCAGTCTGAATATAAACACATCCTTAAAAAAAAACTCAGGTGTTACAAAAGCCCTTCAGATAGTTCCTGAATTAAACAGGAACTTTCAAGTTCATTGATTGCCTTTTCCTGTTTCAAGGTAGTGAAAGTAGTGAAACTTAGAATTAATATATTTTCAAAGATTTCATTGGAATTTGGGTCAGTGGAGATTATTCTAATATTTGAAATTGGCAGTTTGGTGAGAGGTCTAAAATACGTTTAAAAATAAGGCACGTAGTGAACATTAAGGCAGATGGCCACCCACCCTGAGCCATAGTTCTGTTCGAGGTTTCTGCCTGTTAAAAGGAAGTTTTTCCTTGCCTGTGTCGCCTAGTGCTTGCTCATGGTGGGAATTGTTGGGTTTCTGTAGTTAACTTCAGAGTAGGGTCTGACCTGCTCTGTTTGGAAAGCGCTGTGAGACAACTGTTGTTGTGATGTGGCGCTTTATAAATAAAATTGAATTGAATTAACATGTTTAAAATGTTTAACATGTTTTAAAATGAAAGATAATACTTTAAGATGTAGAGAGTATATATGAACCCATAGTTTTAACGGCAGCTTTTAAAATAAATGTGGGGAAGCAACCATGAGGAGCATCGGGCTCATCCCGTTACAGCAAATGTAACTTGTGATCAACTAAGTTTGGGAAGTTTGACATCTATAATACCTGACGTGTAACATATCTGATATGATAAAGAAGTGATAACCAGAGTAAGGGGTACTGCATTGTAAGGTATGCGTATGTTTTTGGGGAGTCTATAGTTAAAACACACGTGCACGAGCTGTTTTGCATTAACCTGCTGTGTCAGCAGAAAGCCTGTGCATGGAATTAGAGCAGTTGTGCATGACTGAGTGCCACATTCTTCTGCGATAGTTCATTCAGCAGCAATGCAGTGGACGGTCACTCCACGAGCCGGTTGTAGGTCCTTCTTCAGGAGAGTTGCAGTTGTACTACTTGTATACTTCTGCAATTCCATAAATATAATTTATCTTCTTATATAGTATCTTATATTGCATAAGTATGTTTTTATTTTCTATCATTGTCTATTATTTTAGACATACATGCAACTGTACTTTACCGACCCACTGCCTTTGAATTTAATGCATCACTCTAACCATATATAGAGCATCCCTAGAGTTATGGAATCCTAGAAGTGGCTCTTAGAAGCCAGTGTCATGCTCTTATTGTCTATGAGCACAATTTCCTGCCATGACACATGTAAATACATCAACTTTTGAGAGCTTACCACAACATGCTTTGAATAATCTATTCTAATGACTATGATCTGCTTGTAAATCTGTGGACAATCATACTTTCTGTTCATTTTACGGTGACTTCTACTGATCCCTACTCACTGTGGGTGGGTTGTCAACGGTGTTTTGGATGGCTGCAGCCAGCCCTTCCTTCATCATGCCAGTCAGGCTGTAGAACTCATGCTGCTCATCAATCTCAAACAAGCCAAGAAGCTTCCACTGCTGCCTCAAGCCTCCCCACCTCTTCCTCTTCGCCGCGGCCGGCTGCTGGCGCAGGCCCGACATCCTCGGGGCCCCCGTGGCTGCTGACATCTCCGTCTGGGAAACAGAAAAAAACACACACGGATCGGACGCGTGCGAAACCGTCGGACGGTCACCTGACCTCTCAATAGAGAGGAGGGTCGACAAAGCTTGGACAAAAAGAAATCAAAGAGGCCAGAGAGGCCAGTGGCTAAAGCAAAACACAGCAGTCGAGTCTTTAACAGAGTTTCCATGGAGATGAACACAATGGGATAAAAGCTCCATGGGATATGCTGTAGTGTAGTTGATGGCACAGTAGTCTAAACCGCACATCAGCCATGCGGGAGAGAGATGATGAGGAAATAATGAGGAGTAATCTAATCTCTTTATATGTATTGTTCTGTTGTAATAGTTTAGGAATTTGTTTTACAAAAATCAAATGTGTATTTGAATGTGGCCCCAGTGTATTTCTCCATCATGTGCGTTTGTGCTTCAGTGACTGTTTTTTCTTTGGTGCAGCAGTGCAATCAGGCAAATTAAGATCAATGTCAAATCAAGACTTTGCTTCCATGGAAAAACATCAGGTTTTATCACAGCTTCTATTTCACTCCCTTGTATTAATCCCCCCTCCAGGAAGTTGGATAATCGACTGAAAACCAAATCTCAGAGTGCTTCCTGTTCTGTCAACAGTTCATTTGAGGGCAATCCAAACTTTGAGAATGTGTATATCCATGAGGAACATATTCCTTTGAGCTACATCTGAGCTATTTGTTAACCTATTCTTGCTTCTCTCTAAATATGTTCCATATAAAAAATATAAAAGTTACCACAGTAGTAAAAGTAGTTGTCACATCTGGGGGAATGTCTGGTGTCTCGTCATGTCTTGATTACCTATTGTGTACACCTGGGGTTCCCCTCCCTCATGTGTTCAAATAGTCCTCGTTTCCCATGTCCTGTGCCAGTGTGTTTGTGAGTTTTTCGTCACCCCTCGCCACGTAAGGTTTGATTTTGTCACAGCCATGCCATAGTCTTGTTTACTGTTTTTGTCATAGCCATGTTTTTTCAGTCATGTTAATCTTGCTATAGTCTTGTTTTGATACTTTGCCACAGTTTTGTTAATCTTCATTTGCACTTTGCCATATCCTTATTTTTGCCACAGCCATGCCACAGCCTTGTTTTACACTTTGTCAGCATCCACTCCGTTTGAGTGTGTTTTTGTTCTGTCACGGCGGGTGGGTCTTCGGGAGGATTCAGTTGCAGAGATAGGAAGTTCGAAGGGTTTATTTTAACAAAAACACACTCAAACGGAGTGGATGCTGACAGTGCAAAACAAGGCTGTGACAAAACTATGAACAAAGTATCAAAGCAATAAGGTTAACAAGACTGTGGCATGGCTGTGGCAAAAATAAGACTATAGCAAAGTGCAAATAAAGATTAACAAAACTGTGGCCTTATATCAAAACAAGACTATGGCAAAATATCAAAGCAAGATTAACATGACTGAAAAAAACATGGCTATGACAAAAACGGTAAACAAGACTATGGCATGGCTGTGACAAAATCAAACCTTACGTGGCGAGGGATGACGAAAAACTCACAAACACACTGGCACTGGACATGGGAAACAAGGACTACTTGAACACATGATGGGAGGGGATCCCCAGGTGTACACAATAGGTAATCAACACATGACAACACACCAGACATTCCCCCAGACGTGACAGAAGTTACCTCCAAGCTACCTTTGTCTTGGAATAGAGTCCAAATCCAACATCTTTTTGGAGTCTGCATGTTTTCCCTGTGTCTGTGGGATCTCTCCGGGTTCTCCGGCTTCCTCCCACCATCCAAAAACCTGCATGTTAGGTTGATTGGACATTTCAAATTGCCCTTAGGAGTGTGTGTGGTTGTTTGTCCTTGTGTGTGGCCCCGCGACGGACTGGAAGACTGTCCAGGGTGTACCCCGCCTCTCGCCCATTGACCACTGCAATAGGCTCCAGTTCTCCCCGTGACCCCATTAGGGGATAAGCGGTAACGGCCAAAAGACTATTGGTTGATACTAGTACTACACTTGATGTTTATTTCTGGATGGTAAGTTGGGTGCCAAAGGTAGGGGTTGGATAATTCCATTACCCAGCAAATCTGGGGAAGCTGGTCAAGTTTTTTTTTTGTTTTGTCTATGTCCACATGTCATCAGACTTTATTGCACACCTGTGCCTAAGAAGCCCCTAGCTAAGGCCCTCGGCGGTAGTGATGGGGCTCTGGTGGACGACCGTGTAGACTTCAGGAACCCACAGCGAGCCGGTTCACAGGCATCTGAACAGTGGCAGATCCCAGCACAGGTCCATATGGACCAAAACCACCTCAACAGTTTTTCCCCCCAGGCCACCACCCTCTTAAGTGAGGACATCTCAGCCCTCTCGCCACTTCTACAGTCACTATACAGTCACCAAAGAACCCCTGAACATACTATATGTTCCTTTCCTGTGTTACTTCACAACTGTACATATTGCACTTATCTGTCAATTACTTCTTTGCTATTTCAATATTCAATATGGAAATTTTCCCGTGGTGCTCAAGTAGATATCGCTGCAGACTGCAGGAAGCCAAGGATGGAGATCCAACTCCCCTCATATCCAAGTCGGCCATTTTTATTATGTCACCAATAGAAAGATCCCAGGCAAGAAAATAGGTATTGCTTCATGGCAATATAGACATTAATTTAATAATAGTGAAATTAATCTTGCAAACACTGAATTAAACTCTAAACATAATATTATGTTAAAACAGTGTATGTTAAATAGGTTTGTACAATAAGTCCAAACCACTGTAACCAAGTATTATTTATTTCTCACAATTATGAGGGCTGGAGGGTAAGGGTTAGGGTTAGGGTCAGGGTCAGGGTTAGGGTTAGGGTTGGAGTTAGGGTTAGGACATCGTTTGTCTTCCGTTTTCGTATAGACAGTAAAGTTTCTTTTCCACCCGAGAAAGCTGCTAATCATATGACCTAACCAAAATGGCCGACTTGGATGTGGACGGAGATGGATATCCAACCAAGGCGTCCTACAGACTGCAGCGAGAGGCTACTTGTGACGCTGGGATACCGGGTCAAATTCCTGCGTTCTCTGTACATTTGGTCAATAAAGCGATTTTGGATTGTGAGAATGTTCATAGAACCCAGCAGCTACCCTGTTCTGTGACCGCAAAGGGGCTCTGAACATGGCCCTGAGAGCCCCCACCTGTCGCAAACGGGCACTATAGTGCCAGGCTGCCGGGGGGGGTGTCCAGAGCAGCAGTCCAGAGCAGGTGTCAAATCGCATAGGAAGAGAGCTGCACCTGTTGATGGCCAGTAACATTTGGATTAAAGGCAATCGAGGGACTTGGAAACACCAAAGTGGACTGCTCCCATCAAGCCATGAACAAGCAGAGGAACGTCTGAGGCTCCTACTTAGCGCAATTAAGCAATGTTGACATGGTGATGACCAGCCACGGTGTATATTTTAAAGCCGTCGTTCTGTACTGTCTCTTGTCATTTGCTAGCTGCCCCTCTAGTCCGTTAAACCTAAAAATCCAGGTGAAGGATTTGTAATTGGCACCCAAAAAAAAAATGGTCTAACTGCCATTAGACTTGTAGAAAGAAACGGTCAACAGCCAGAATGACAGCGAACTCCTTCAAACAAGTGACACATCGCTTGCTCTCTGTAAAGATTATGGTATAGCTTAAGTTGACAATTACCTATTGCCGTTTCATTCCATGTTTGGAAACTAAAATGTCACTCACATAAAAATCATCATAAAAATCTAAGTTATTTTAGGATCCAAGTCGGCTTCATGACACTGATTCACTTGCTTCCTCAAAAGGTTGCAAGTATATGCAAGACAGTCTTAGTTTTGTTGAAGAGCTTTAGAACTGGCTCACACTTTGAAAAAGTCGAGAAAAATCTACATTCCACATGAGAATGAACAATATCCACCATGTTTAATGAAACCTCTTGATACACATAACAGGGAGAATGACCATGTGTCATGGTCAGGCACTCTGGAGAGAACTCAGAGAACAGACGGTGGCATTATGGTATGCTAAAAATGTAAAGCTAAATATATATATACATATACTAATCTTTTGTAAAATACACAAGTCATTTTGCCCCAAAAAAAGGTGAATTATCTTATTTCTAACAACTAATACATTTCAAACATTAACTGAGTCAAACAAGATTTTCCCAAGTGAATTGTGACCCTTGATTCACTAGATCTTGATAATAAGTTCAACACCTTTTTTGGAGATTGTATGTCTGATTATAAGACCTACTTTTCATCTTGCAAGACTCTGTGTTCACTGAGCGCTCGGTGTAATTACATGAAATGAACCCCTTTTGTAAGTCAGCCGGCTATTCTGTTGCGTAGTCCCATAGCAACAAAAAACGATACAAAGCTCACTGCAACCTTTGAGCTCACTGTCTCCTGTGAGATCTCACTTTGAATTTGACCAAGAAACAAAAGCCTTCTCTTTGATCCCCTCCTTCTGTGATGATGTCTGATTGTCTAGTGGAGTTTGGATGACCGCAAGCAGAGGGTGTTACATTGTAGACAGTACATTTTAAACTAGTATAATTCTATAAGTTATCATCAAGAGCACACTTATAAGGAAAATTCTCTGATGGTGTATTTTTTGCTATAGATTAAAAAAAAAACCCAGAGGAAAGTAAATTGTCTGTATGTTAATTTTTAAATACTACAGTTAAAGTAAGAGGTAAAAAAAGTTATGATGCTTAATATACTTTGCTGCACAAGAGAACATGGTATAGGAAGTGAATAAAAGTAACAATTTGGTAAAATCTGTTTATTTCCTCAGATGGGCAGTCATTCAGGAACTGACATCATAGCAAGAAATTTAGATAAATCTGGATTGAAACAGATTTACATAGATTAAACTGTAATCCTTTGCATTAAACAGGATTATTTTTACAGAAATAATTTTACATACAGTTAAATTATGTGTGTAAAATTTTAATCCCAATGTTGTACATTGATCATTAAATATAATCAAACTACAAGTTATCATGATCATTTCTTATGTATTTACTTAAAATCAAAAGTGGAGATTGACCATACTGATTTAAAATTAATTTTAGAATTGATAAAAATATATAACAAATGGACAGAACATTAATAAATGATTGCTTACGAAAGTACTTTTTTTAGTTTATGGTACAGACATTAGGGGTTAGTATTTCTTAAGAAAAAAAATATTGTATACTTTTAATTGAAGGGTAAGCAAATGAAGAAAGGATTAGATTTGAGAAATGTGCTCCATGTTGGCAATATCAGTCAGTTTTCCTGGTGAGGCATTTTAGAGCTATCGAAAGATTTTTTTAAGTAAATTATTTTCCTCCTGATAAAATGCAGTTCAGTCAATAGAGGTAAATAATCATAAACCAGCTTTTAAGTTTTACTTTAAGACAATTGATTATTAAAATTTAGCAAATGAAAGAAAGCTATTTCAGAGGTCAGAGGTCAGTTTTGTTCCGCTCCCTCTACTGTCGTCTCCAGTTTTCCAACAAGCAGCGCACAACTTTAGCAGCTTCACAGGGAGGAAGGAGCCGTTTTTCAAAATAAAGTGCATTTTAACGTTTCATGAAATTCACATTTCAAACTCTCTGATTATGATTAACACGCAGATGACTGTGCTCTTCCTGAGCTACAACTGTCCCCAGTGTCTCACTATTATTCAGATAGGTCCACAAATTTAGACCTATCTGATAAAGACTCCGAAGGTTGAAAGAGGTAACCGTAGATCTCAATGTTGTTCGAGTCTTTGTTGCAAAATGCTGTGTCAGGGGATGCTGATGTAGCACTGTGATGTGGCAGGCTGGCAATATAATCAAGACCATCTTCTCATTGTCCAACAAGGAGGTAGTCTATACATTTAGTTACTCCTGTTTCTGTAAGTGCTCTGTTATTTAAGATATCTGAGAGACAAAAATCAGAAGTCAGCGATCAGAAGACTCCTTGTTTGAGTCGACTTGAGAATTGGACAAGAACAATACATGATAATTCACTAATCTACATATATAAAGGATAAACCACTGGCAAGCTGTGCAGCTGTATGGTGGGCACTAGTTCTTTTGGTGTGTAAGGAAAATAAATAAAAACACTCTTCAACCAAGTACTTGTTATATGCATGAAAAATTAATTCAGTGTAATATGTACACAGGTAATAAAATGTTACACATATCTGACACAGAATGGGTTTACCTATAATAAGTACAGTTTGAAATTCTGACAGTATGTCCATCATATGCCTGATAGATGTTTTGTATAGGTTTACCCATTTGGGGTTTGTCCAAAAGTTATTTTAATCGGCAAGAATTTGCCAATTCATCAATTTGAAAAGCAAGCTCTAAAAAAAAGAACCTCCTGAAACGCTTAGGATGAAAAATTATGTGGCTGATACAGCCTGCACTGCACAGCAAAAGAGAAATCCCCAAGTAAGCCTTTTAAAACAGCCTACTGGACATTGTATATGATATAAAATGTCATCAAATAAAGTTAGAGCAAGAACTGAACGACTAAAAAAAAAGGATTTTGCGTCATTTTCTGTTCAATTGGACACATTCATTAAAAGAGACAAACAAACCCCAGCAACAGATCAAATTAGTGTGTGACTTGCCTGTTTGTGGTGTTTCCACGGTCGATGCCTGTCCGCGTTTGTGCGCGTGGAGCCGGGCCCCAAATCCGCCCCGCGCGCGGCCACGCCCGTGCGCAGGCGCGTGCGCAGGCGCGAGTGCCAGCGTCACCCAGTGTCACCCTGGAAGCTTCTGATCTGAGGATGGCGATGCAGGGTGGGAAGTTATGCTGGGGAAAAAAAAGACAACGGAACCAAGCCAACAAAACCTGGCTGATCAAGTTCCCTTTTCTCTCTCCGCCTATGCGCCTTTTTCCATAATTCTCTGATGGAACAGCGGGTGATAAACCCCCAGACCGAGCCCTGCTGACTCACAGCATCTCCTGCCGGATGCTATTGGCTGTAATCGAGCTTTAAGGGCACAACTTGGATCCATACCCATTTATTATGGAACCAAAATAGAGTCTGAACACATTGAACTGCGTAAAGTTCCTTAGCTCGTCCGTAGGATCCAAAATGAATAAACAAAAATAATCTTTGGCCATTCACCTTTTTAAGAACACCAGATCTGTTCCTCCAGTTCTATACAAAATTATTTTTTTTGATAAACAAACATCATATCATGGAATAGAGGTTATTTTCTTGTTTTACTTGTGTTTAACTATTTTATCTTGACTAACTAGCACTCTTTTTCCTCTATATGTTTTCATCTAATTTCAAAGTAGTCTAAAAGCAAGAATTGGTTTAGTATTCTTTTTTAATGAACTTTGCATTAAAAAAAACTATGTAAAAAAATGTTCTGATGCATTATTATTATTTGCAAAAATCCCTTTTTGTCATGAACTGGGGGTTTGTTTGGTTTGATTGGACTTTGTGTTTGTGTTTAGTTTATTTTTCTGGGTTATCTTATTGTCTCTGGTGTTATTGTTTAGTTATTTGTGTTCTTTGTTTGTCACTTGGTTCTAGTTCAGTTATTTTTTTACCCTTTCCATGTTCCTCTTTCCATTTTTTTTATTGTGGTATCAGTCATATTTTCCTATTTCTCTGTGTTTCTGTCATCTTCACTTCAATTAGTTTTCTCTGGTTCTCATCTATTTAATTCCATTTAGTCAGTGTTCTGCTATAGCTTTTGTCTTAAAAGATTTATCAGTAAATGCATAAATATATAATCAAAATAGAAATTAATTACCTGGAAGGTTCACTGAATGAAGAGAAAGTAAACCCTGAGGGACATAGTTAGTTAGAAACAGTAATAGAGAAGAATGCTCTATTTTATTTCTTCTAAATGTTCTCTAATCCACTCAATTGGGAAAAGATCTTTAATACAAAATATATTTCATGATGCTTTCTTTCATTTATCACAGTTGTTTTTTCTTTCGCATAGCAAAGTCCACAGCAGTCACACAAACAGGATCGATCAGTCCACTTTCTTTGGTTTATGATTCTTCCATATAACAACAGCGGTGAAAGCCCCTGTGGAAAAAAAGGAAAGAAATCAATTATATGAAATCCATATTTTGTACAATGCATGTATTTACACCGATCGTCTGAAAATATCGTGAGAACGGATTATTCATTTTTTTCTATTAAGACAACATACTCACCGATACAAAGGAGCAGGATTACTGCTGCAATTCCAGGTAGAATGACGGAGTACTCCCGTGGGAGGAAATACTTGTGAAGTATGTGATCACTTCCAACAAAAGGCTGGAAATAAAAGAATAAAGAAATAGATAAATAAATCACTCTTCTACAGGACTTTGAAGAACTGTCGGATGGAAGAATGTCACATGATTTTATCAAATATCAATGACGAAAAACCTTTAGATGAGTTTGACTTGGTTTTAATAAAATTGTACAAGATATTTTTTTATATAAACCATAATCAAAAGGATCCTTTTTATTGTTAGATGAATAGCAGAATGGTTTGAGAAGCTACGACTGATGTTTGGAGACACCTACCAGGTAAATCGACATTGTAATTGCAATTATAGGGACATCAACACAACTTACCAGCACAATGACCCACACAGAGTAGTATGTAAACAGCAGGAGACTGAAAGCAACAAGACTCATGCCAACTGACTGATCCACTCCTGTAGCCTAAAGAAAAACACAAAAAAACACACATATAAGCACAGGGAACTGTGGTTGCAGACCATCTTTTGCTATTTTAACATTGAAATAATTTATCTTGTCCTGGGATTTCATGGAGCATTAAACCTAAAGAGGATTAGAATTAGATCAATCCAGTCACAAACATAATAGGGGGTTAGAAAATATCCCAAGGTGTTTTAATAATACGGGTATATGCGTTCAGATAAAAATTTGTATAAAGATTCAAAGAGTCTAAAATTGGGAAAAACCTTCTACAGCACTGACAGCTTCCCACATATACTAAAACAAAACATTATGCAGAACATGCTAAATATGAGACAACATGCTAATAGAGGAGTCACCAATTAGCTTAAAAAAGATCGACTAATGCATAGATTAATTAGTCGACCTAGTGTTATTATGAGGTAATACCAAAAAATAGTTGTTTTCTCTGTTATTTTTTTCCTCCATTTCACCTTAAATGTGTAATCAGTTTGTATCCCTTACCATTTTTGATAGCTTTGTGGTATTTGTTGACGTAGCCCGGAACTCTTCTTCCTCTTGTGAAATCCGACTGTCAAGACAACTTTGCAGATCATCATTGCCCCCTACCGGTCAAAGACGGGACTGCAGCTTAATGTTGTCATCCTGTTCATTTATTTATTTATTTATTTAATTTCGGCATCTTAAGTGTTTTACTCAATGGCAATGATACACCCACACACTTTTATACCTGGATCACAGAGAGAATTAGATGACGATCGCTATTGGCTCTTGATGGGCATCTTCATGCGTCTCAACCAATCATGGCCTTTATATCAAGACCATAAAGGGCTGGATAAAATTAAACTAATCTTGTAAACATTGCAAAGCCGATTTAGCTTATAAAATAAATAAATAACCATGGGTTTGTAATTGATCGTGTTCACAATTTGTAGAAATATCACGCAAACACTGCAGTGTAAAATAATTTGATTTAATGATCTCCCCATTTCTCCCCCTTTTGATTTGAGTTGTCTTACACACAACATAGACTGTCAGTTGTAAAAAATTAAGACAATTTTATTTATTTGGTGCATATACAGTTATGATCTGGACAGAAATGTAAAATGTTTAACTTTATTATTCATTTTCTGGCATTTCTACACAAAGAGTGAATACAAATGTCATCTCATCTGGAAAAAAAACACAATCCTAGGTGAAAAAAAGACCAAAAAACAATGTTAAGAAGTTGTTAACCAGAAAAAAAACTTGTTTATGACATAACTCTACTGTATGTGACAATCATCGGTCCAGATGCAATAAAAAATTCTATGTGACACATATCAATCACTGTCGAATATAAAACAATTTAAACATTCAAGGGAAAATATAAATATTCCCTTTGTCAAAACCCTCCTCCCCATGCAATTGAATCTCTATTGCAACATCTCTTTAATAATAAAGAAAAAGAAAACACAAAAAACCAAAACTACCACTTTTGAGAAAAAGTTTCTCGAAAGTCGACAAGCACAAATTCAGTTATTGAGGTCAGAGGCTACACACGCTGGTCAGACACGTACAGATCCCTGTGCAGTCGCATCACATGACACGATGCTGTACATATCTGCTGACCAGCCAAAACTTGGTGGGATACGTGTAAATGGAGTTTTTTTCCCACACCATGTGTTCCGCATGTTTCTTGCAGAGCACAATATTCATGACCATGAAATGATAAAAGATAAAGAAATAGCAGTGAGAACATGTCTATCAAAATTTTCCATTAACGTCGAACCGATTCTGACATTTACTTCCTATTCATCTGCTGTTATCTAGTGTTTGATTGGCAACAGGAAAGTACACAATGCCATTTGTGTGCAATTTTAGGAATGCATGACCTGCATGCATTTGGTGGGCGATACGGGCCTACGGTATTTCCCATTAACGTACACAAACACGAGCATGCAAATGAGTCCTGTGGGGTGAGGATCTTCTGTGTACGGTCATTTGTGGAACAACGGAAGCTTTGTAATGTTGCAGCTGCGGCACTGAAGTCACCACAACAACATCAGGCCAACAGTATCACCACTTGTGCTGCGTGCTAAAATACAAAGACGCGTTTGCACAACGCGTTCGACTGTGAACAAAGCGGGCATGGTGTCTCCCAATCACAGCGCATAATAAAACACAAAATACATTTTCCTAGGACACAAAGTGCATGTCGATCTGATAGCATTTAGGCATTTCCACTAAAACTATGCAGCCCCCCTCCCAAAAAAAAAGAAATGTTCAGTATTGTGACTGGCTATAAAGGTTCTTAGACTCTGTTTGCTTTCTTTAACAACGGTAACGCTAACTGCAATGGCAGGATATTTTGAACCTGGCAGTGCAGTGGCTGCACAATCTGACACTTTGGCTTAAAAAACATACACTTTAGGTTAACTGAATGCTCCGAATTGCCCTGAGAAGTGAACGTGAGTGGTTATTTTGTCTCCGTTTAGCCCTGTGATGGACTGGAAACCTGTCTAAGGTGCACCCTGCCTCTTGCCCAAAGTTAGCTGCGAGAGGCCCTACTTGGATATTATAAACCTATTGCCCACAGCCAGCACAGTACCTATTAGCAACATTAGCATGGGGTTAGCTCTTTATCTGAAGTGCCACACAGTTCAAGGGCTAATAATGTTTGTAGAGTATTCTCAAGCATAAACAGAATAAAAAAATGTTTAAATCTAATGTTGTACTTTGCTGCAACAGTGTCAGAAAAACATTTCTGTCTAAATGCTTTTACTGCTTGTCAGTAAAATCATCAAAAAACATTTATTATGTTCAAATGTGTGCAGCTAACTGGGCAGCTAATGTCAAGTCATGCTAGCTTAAGGTTTTCTCCAAATTAGGGAACAGAAGTTAATTGTCTTAACATCTCCTGCCAAATAAAGTATGTTCATTTTATCAGTGAGAGTGCTTGTAATGCAAAAAAAAAAAAAACAAATGTCAAGAATACATCGTGCTAAATAAAGAAGGTACATAATAACAAAAGCTCTCAATATTTACGAGTATTCCACTTGAATAAAGTGGATGGGTACCAACCATGTGCACACAAACATTGGGTCACTAACACAATTTCATGCACACCATATTTAGCCTCGCATTTAGAGTTCAGGCACATAATGAGGTATGAGAGAGAATAAAACCTTTTTTTCCTAAACATTAATCCATGTGCACTTTTAGTGGTTTTGAACAATCCTCACAGTTTTCATGTGCAAATAATGAAATAAGAAAACCTACAACAGTCATAGCATTTTAAAAGTAATTGATGCAGCGTGATCCTTTTATATCCAGACTTTCTGCTTTAAAGTTACAATTCATTAAGTAGGAAACCTTAAATCTTTAATCAAGTAATATCTATGGTCACTGCTAAAGGCAAATCTTTAATATTAATATTATTTTAAGCTGTTATATGTCGATATACATTTGAAAAACCCATAAAATGCCCCACTTTCCCTCTCTGTTCATCTCTTTGTAAAATAATAAATTATTCTCATGGTATGTCAATACATACCATCTTTCTTTATTTGACTAAAACCTAGCATGTATGCTGTTTTTTCAAGCAGAAAAACATTAAATGAGCTTGAAAGTTTTTGATTTTGTCAGCGAAAACAACGAAAGAGTATACACATAGTAAGTGAATTTCTAAAATAAGTTTTTGACTCAAACTAATTATTAAACAATATCCAATATTTAAATTGTAGCCCAGTAAGAAAGAACATCTTAATTTCCAGTATCTCTCCATAATGTATAACACCACCCTTAATTCGTGTTACGTTGACCTTATAAAAAATAGTTGTACTTTCTTACATTAATAAGAAAATTGCATATCGGAGTACAGTGGCTTTTGCTACCCCTTGTAGTTATCGTTTAGTAGAACATTCATTGTGGTTGATTCCATTATACAACAGCATTTATAACCAAAATAAATAATTTTGAAAATCAAATAAATAAACAAACACCATAGATTAAATTAAACTTGAAAACACATAAAATTGCACCTAGAACCTGTGCTATGTGGAATTCAGTCATCACCTTTACATAACTCCCAACACCTGATTTAGTAGAAGACATGCTAAATATGAATGTTACAGTAGTCGCATATAAAGCAGAAAACAAAGAAGAAATTGTTTATACTGAGACAGTAAAATGTCACGAGACATTAGATGGTTGGTTCAGCTGAAGACGTGGAGGCATACTTTTCAGTGAGTTTCAATGACCACAGGCTCAAAGATACTAGGAGATCCTCTAGGAAAAACAAAAAACAAATTTGTGTTAACATTCATTTTGAAAATCATGTTGAAAAGAGCTGGCGAGCTAAATATTAAAAGTCTACCTGTTGTCGAGCTGTGCCCCACTGAGGGCTGTAGTCCCATCTTTACTGACAAACAATCTCAAGTGGCTGTCTATTGGGAAACGAGGGTTAAGACAGGAAGTTAATATGGCAAAAACACACAAAAATGATGATACAAATGAAATCCAAATAACCGATATGCCCCACCCTCATTGTTGCTGCTGTCAGAGAAGTTCTGGCTCTGCACAATCTTCTCGACAATGTTTGCAGCGTCAATCCGGGTGTCGTCCACACAGCTGGGCTGCCGTTCCACACTGGTCTTCTTCCTTCTGTTGTGGGCCAGGACACACACAAGGATTATGACTAAGATATGATACATACACATATATATATATACAGTATATATACACACACACACACACCTCTACATATGAATTTAATTAGTTCCAGGACCTACTTCGTATATTATAATATTCATATGTTGGTTCAAATATTCCCATCAGACTACACTGTAATTCCTATCATTTGTTCCACAGCCCAAAAGCCTACGATAATTCCTTAATAAATACTGTAGATAATTACACATGGCAATAATCAAATGCACTTTATAAGAGAGATGTAAAAACAAATTAATTATAAAGAAATAATCAATAAAAGTTTTTTTTTTATTGGCGCTTATCGGTGAACGGAGGTGTGCAGGACAGACAGAACTTTATTATTGATCCCGGTCAGGAGACGGTCGGTGTGGAGGTAGAGGCGGTGACTGAGATACAGGACGTACCGTAACTTACTCTGACTTTCACCACGTTAAGTTTAAACTAACTCAGCTTATTTATTTTCCTTTCATTTTTTAAAAATTTTCTATGACTTCGACGTCATATGTTGGAAATTTACTTCGGGTGTCGAGTCGAATATTTGATCGAATCTCACTCAGATGTTGGAAAATTCGTATGTTTAGGCAATCGTAAGTAGAGGTTCTGTTTATTGGTATATATACATATGTATATATACAGTTTAGTACAAAGCAAAAGTTTGGACACACCTTCTCATTCAAAGAGTTTTCTTTTCATTTCATTTTCATGACTATAAAAATTGTAGATTCACACTGAAGGCATCAAAACTGAATTAACACATGTGGAATTACTGTATATACTTCACAAAAAAGTATGAAACAACCGAAAATATGTCTTATATTCTAGGTTAGTAGTAGTAGTAGCCAACTTTTGCTTTGATTACTGCTTCGCACACTCTTGATGAGCTTATATATATATATATATATATATATATATATATACACAAACACATAAATATATATACTGTATGTATATTCTGACGTGCCTTAAAACAAGATCAGTGAGAATATGCAGCTGCAAATTTCTTTAATCAAATGCAGAGACGTGTGTGTGTGTGTGGGTCTGTGTGTTTGTGCGCAGCTACCTGGAGGACCTCTTGTGCATGAGTGCGGCCGCAGAGGGTGGAGGAGGTCTCTCCGGTTTGGTGGGAGTGGCTTGACGCTGCGGCTCGGCCGGGGATGAGGAGGGAGGTGGCTGGGGGGGGTGAGCGGCCCCGCACGAGGCACTGCTGCTGGACGAGGCATTCCTCTGGTGACTGAGGTCAGTCAGGCTGGAGCAGCGGGAGTGACCAGTGCTGTAGCCTTCAGCAGGAGAAGGGAAAAGACAGATTATTCTCCCGAGAAGCTTTGTTCTTGCTTCCTTTATGTGCCTCCCTGTTAAATATTAATCATCAAATGTTTCTACTTGCCCAAAATATAATGGGGAAACATTTAAATTTGCATCTACAGAGAACAACAAACTGTACAGATTGTAAATGAGCCAGATTATAGCATAGTTGCTAGTTTACATCTGTCGTCCTGAGGCAGGAAGACCAAACAACACAAAATCACAAAATACAAAATCAGTCCAAACACACGTTCAGACAATGACATTACAAAATTAAAATTAATTCAATTCAATTCAATTTCATTTATATAGCGCCACATCACAACAACAGTTGTCTCACAGCGCTTTCCAGGTCAGACCCAACTCTGAAGTTAATTACAGAAACCCAACAATTCCCTCCATGAGCAAGCACTAGGCGACACAGGCAAGGAAAAACTTCCTTTTAACAGGCAGAAACCTCGAGCAGAACCATGGCTCAGAACCCAATACTGCCACTCTCCTTAGTTACTATGAAAAAAATGGCAGTGCTTCAGAGTCTGTGAGCAACAGCGGGAAACAGCTGCCTGACCTGATATCCGGCTGTGCTGGCTAGCGTAGCTGGAGCTGCGGACATGGCGGCTGTGAAACACCTCCTCGGCCGCGCTCTCGCCTTGTTCAGCCAGTCCTAAAAAAACATATACACACACCACGTAGACTGAGATCTCCCCATACGATTCCTCATCCCTGAGCCATAACTACCGGTGCTTAAGTGTGCTTAGCTTTAGCTTGTAAATGATAGGAATCAGTTATCTGAAAAATAAGACAGGAAAAGTAATATTTTCCTTTTTTACCACCACTGGATCTGTTTCATAATTCAGAAACTGTACCTGTTTTTTTTATTTTACACCGAACAAAATCAGCCTCCTACATCAGGGCAAGGTGAGAACATCGTTCATTTGGGGGAAACTTCAAAGTCTGACCACAACTTCTTTTGTATTCAAAGGACTCAGTCGTTTGGATAACTCCGCATTAACAGATTTCATGTGTGTCTAACATTGGCGAGATGACGAGGTAGACTCATAAAAGAAATGCTGCATCAGCTTTATTTACATTAAGATAAATATGCGACTGAATGCACATTTTTTAAAAGATATACAAATATGCTGGACTGTCAAGTTGTGTTTGTTATCTGTCCGTAGATAGTGAACTGTCAGCTATTTGGTGCAAAAAAACTAATCATATCGTAATAATCTGTTTGACCATCCTAATGTGGGTTACTATTGAAATATTTCCAAAGACCCCAAAACTCAGAATGATTTAAACCCATTTCCTTTTTAAACATTTAAAATTGGGTCCAGAATTTATGTTTCCATTTCAAGTGAAAGAAAAGATGACTATTATAATGTAATGGTTATACTCCTTTTATTTATTAAAATACATTATTTTCACCTTTCTGTATCTTTTATCTACATTTAAATGCAGCTTTTTTAATTAAACATTTGGTAACTTGGTAAACATGTGTGAGAGAGCATCTGTGCACATAGTGCAGCATAAAGACCACATGTACACACACACAAACATAAACACACAAACGCACGCATGTACACACACGTAGACACACATGTAAACACACTTATATGCTGTCCTGTTCAGCATTTTAAGTTCGAATTCATGCTCAAACAGCCACAATGGATTAATTCAGTTTTTTTATATGTTGTTATATGTGTTTGTGGCCACATGGCTGGCAATGGGCAAATAAAGGTAACAATAACATTAAGTACACAATCATGTAAACTGTGTATAAAACAGGAGATATGTTTTAATGATCTATGGTGTAATGATTGGCAGCCCAGGAGAGGAGCTATACCCATAAAAAGGAGTATTTAACCCAAATAAGCCAGGGATTGCCGTTTTATTGGTTATATTTTAGTTTTTATTTTAGTTTTTTATTGCACTGGAATGAAAAATGATCAAGAAAATCCTGGAAAACGTGGCTTTGACTTTGCCACCTGCAATGTTTTCTTAAAAACAACAGATGGGTCCATGAGAGACGGCCGATGGGCTACATATTTAGTTGGCAGTGGAGCAGAAGCCCAACTCTTTTGGTGGACAAAAGCAGTCGTGGCTGTAAGACAACACATTCTGGACCCGTTTTACATGTCATTTCCGGATGTGTGTTAAAACTAAAAGTGAAACGTCTTGCTTGTTAAAAACGAAGGACCTGAATCCTTCTCGGTGATTCCCATTTACCTGAACTACGTACTGATGACTGTCGGGACTTCATGGCACAAGGCTCCCCGACAATTCCTCCCAGCGGCTGGTCAGTGGCGTTAGTGCCCTCTCCCTTACAGTCCAGCTGTAAATTGGGATCCTCGTCACAAATAAAGACAGACTTGGCTGTACTAGGAGGCCTGACAGTACAAATCAAAGTGTAAAGAGCATGGATTAATGAGGAAGTTGTGACGGTCAGTTTTTCATGCTTTAACTTTACGGTGCAGTTCCACACAGCAAAAAGCGACTCACGTTTTAAAGCAGGGGTCCCCGGACAGAAGAGTCATCCCGATGGTTACCTGGGAGAGAGCAGGTAATGCCAGTACTGATTAGAGGTACTGATTTGTGACTGTGTGGTTAAAAGATAAAGGATAGACCTAGACGTGATCTGTTCAACATATCAGAAATGTCTCCCCAATTGTTCTGGACTGCGCTCAATTAAAACAGACTTTTTCGAGATTCAAAATTTTTCAAGTACTTTGAATACTTAAGTACTTTAACTCAAGTAATAGCTACTTTTACTTTTACTGGACTAATATTTTATTAGTAGGACCTGTACTTTTTAGTCAAGTAATGAAACTGCCAACTTTGTAAAACACTGCCAATAAGTCAAAAGGACCTCTAACTCTATTATAAAAGTGCAACAAATTGTCTACTACTTCTGCTAACAAACAAAATTAGTGAGTAATACGCGTATAAATAGGTGAGCAGTTGTGTATGTGTGCATATTGGCCATGCCTTGAGAATGGAGTTGTCCTGCCGGGTGTTTTTGGTGTCGTAACCTTCCAGAATGCAGCAACGGACGGTGGAGCCTGAACCAGCAAATTCGGAAATGTTGAGATCAGCAAAGCCTAGCTGGAGACAGGCAGACACACTTACAGACGGATGGCACGAGTCAACAGAAAAAGGCAAAGCAAACACAGACGGGCTTTTCGCTCTGTTCCGTTCAGACATCTGCCCCAGTAACATGTGTTCTTTATTTCAACACATATTTATGCTTTTTCTCTCAGTTTAAACCCCCCCTTCAGTTCTGTGATGGGTAGTAAATATGGGTAGTAAATGGTAGTAAATATAAAGCAGGAGACAGTGACTAATAGTAGTAGTATTAGTAGTAGTTAAACCTTTTTAATCTCTCTAATTACAATTTTCTTCCCTCCCAGTAGTACTTCTCGCTTAAATATCCACAAATCGCGATGACCATGAGATTAACTCAACTACCATTCATACAGGTATGCCCATCTCTAGCTCATTTGCCAATTGTACATTAAAGGACACACACTAATTCGAGTAAAACATGTGATCAAAGGCTTTTTGACTGAAAACAAAAGCAAAAATCCCGCAAATTAACATAAAAACACGAGTCCAATCCAGTCTGTTTATGGAAACTCAACGAAGAGTGAAGTCACCATATGTCCTATGACACACACATTATGTAGCAAACAGGATCCCCTGTAATCTACTTGCAGAATTAAATGTAAAAAACATGTAATTAGATCGGTAATTGGCTATAGCTTAGAGATTTGTTGGAGCTCTATGGTTTGACAGAAAGTCATATCATCACCTCCACGAGTGTTTACTCTGTCAAATTCTCCTTTAACAAACCCAGAAAACGGAGAAAAGACTGTGTTTGAACACACCTTTCACCGTCACTGAAGTAGTAATTGTCATGCAGAGAATTTCAAAACTTTATGAGCCAGAGTTCAAAGGTCCAGCAGCTTAGCTAAGCAACGCTTGGATAGTTAAAAATCAGGTCCGGGTGGGGCAGGGTACACCCTGGAGGGCTAGCCGGTCTATCCCAGGTACCACAGGGATACAAGGCGACAGTACACACACATTTAATGAGCTCACCTTTGAGAAGGCCTTTCCTCCCTTGAGCTCCTGGGAAGAAAAAGTCAAAGAATCAAGACCAATTCTGCACAATACTTCTGCACCTTTTATCATTTTGTAGTTAGAGGCTAATGAAATTCACTTGTATTTTAAATCAATGTGGTTAAAATGCTGCTAGCTCTTTGAGTTTTTTGACAAAACATAGGGCATGACAAATAAAATGTGTTATTGTTATTATCATAATGACAATATCTCCAGAGTCAAATTAAGATGCAACACATCACATGACATTTAAAAAAACAAAAAAACAAAGAACTTCAACCCGAAGACAAGGGCTAAAACATATACCAAATAAACTTTACATTATGTTAATGCTATCAGAATATTGATGCACATTATGGAGAAGAACAGACTAATAGCTCCAAGGAACAGACTTAAATGCGACTTCAACCACTAATGTAGGACTTTGTGGCAAAGCATACTTTATACCATTAAGATAATTACATGGTTGCAATGCATAGAATGGGGAGGTTTGCAATCACATGCTTTTGACTAACTGATTTAAAGTTGGAAGATGATGCACAGTCATATATTAAATTAAACAGTAATATTAGTATATCCATTTTAGCAAGAGGTATGGAGAGCAAGAGCATTGATCTGTTAAAGAGTTAAGCTTAGCCTTAGTTAAACTAAAAGCTTTGGTTGCTGCGACTTAGATTTCAAAATGGTCATTTGCAAGAATTTAAAAAAAATAGTGGAAGCAAGAATGACTTGAGGGCCTCATTAGGGGAAAAAAGAAGACAAAAAGAAAGCACAAGTTACTGGATTAGCAGATGTAGCTCTTGAGCCTCATGTGAGACTTCATTTTTCTTTATCCATAAACACTTTCAGCTGGATTCAGGCATGTTTAAGATGAAGCGATTGTTCTACAGTGCTGGTATGGGCTATCTGAAAAGATTTTTATTGATAACTGCTGTAGTGCACATTTCTAACTGATTATACTCGGCCAAAGGATATAGTAGAGGAAGTGCACTTACCAAAACAAGCTCTAAAATTAAGTTTAGGTATGTGATGCCTAAATTAAACACAGGTTATCGCTTTTCTTTTTTATTTTATTTTACACTTTCATATTTGTCTATCCAACCAACTGTCAAAAAAGCCCTGGTTCTGGTTATCATTGCTCTAAAGAAATTTTTAAAAATGAAAAGAAATATTTCCCTGTCGTTTTTTTGTAGGCATAGACGCTAAAGCGTTAACATGAAACCTCTATCATTACAAATGTGTGAAATAAATTGTAATTGTAATCATAAATTGCAAGTATTTAGAAAATTTGAACAGTTTCTACCATAGAAGACCCTTAGATACTATGGAATTATGTCACTTCAAGGGGACGGGTCCTAAGCAAAAAGGCAATTAGGAATATGCAAATGAGACCTCTAATGGCAACAAAAGTGCGGTAACTAACTAAAAATATTTTATTTGACTATGTATGATATCTAATCCACATTTAATATATGTGGATTTAGTTTTTTTTATTCTTTAGCAGATCAATGTTTTTCTTGGAAGCATGACATCAGAGGGTAACTAAAACTATAAACATTTTTGGATTGAGTTATCACATAAGATTATCATTTGTCAATACAAGACAGAGGAAAATGACAAAACGCCTGTTTTACAGACCCCACTCAATGTACCGCCTACCTAAAACAGGCTGTAACTTAACCAGCGGATCATATTTATAAGGCACACAGAATGTTGTGACCAGTGTTTTCCCACTCTTTCTGCTGACTCAGCGTATTTGACTTTGTATGCCCGCATTTGGGCCTTTGACTCCTTGTTTTTAGATTCGATAGCATTTTGAAAATAGTTGTGGATTAATCCAAATAATTGCAGAACATCTCAAAATTCAGATAATTTAAGCATTTTTCACAAGTATAAATCAGATGTAAGAAGAAGTCCCTTTCACATAGTGTGAAGTCCATGTGGGGGGGGGGGGATTTTTTAATTGCATCTGTCTAATTATCCATTAAATCGAGGAGGAGAAATGTAGCTTACCTTGCGTACAGAGACTCTGCAGATGCATGGGTCCAACACTCCAGTAATGGGATTAGCACTCATTTTACAGACAAAGGAAAACTTCTTCCTCCATCGAACACTGTTCTGCTGCACTTCCTCCCTGCACACACACACACACACAAACACACACACACACAGGTGCAGAGCAAACTTTGGTTAGACAGTTTTGCAGTCGAGTGTAAAAACACAGACTTAAAGATGATTAAAAGTACAAAAAACTACTTTGTAAAAATGGCATACGTTCAAACGAAAAACTCCACTGACTGCTTTCATTTACTAACTTATTTTTACTTTTTTTGTATTCCTATTTCCACTGAATGAAACCATCTAGGGTTGGTATGGCAGTGCGGTAAGAGAGTTGCCAGTTCAAGTTTTCTGTGGTGCATTTTGCTTAGTTTGCATTTTCTCCCTATCCAAACGCATGCATGTGAGGATAATTAGAAGCTTTTCACCACCCTGGAGTGAATGAAACGTATCCTCCTGATACCCGAGCTTTTATTTTTATGTGCATTTTTGCTTTTTTCCAGATATCTGGGATCAGTAGGACCTTATAAGTTTAATAGCTAGACTTTGTCATGTTACAGGTAGTTTTTCGTCATACAGGCTGAGTGGGTTTATCTTTATATTTAACATTTTTGTTTATACATCCTATTAAATGATTTTGCAATTTGGCTCTGACAGTCCAAATGAGTAATTGAAAATGTTTTAATCAACAATAAGAACGTTGATTGGTTGAAAATGTGTAAAAACCATGTTACTTTAGATTTCAAACAGTAGTGTCTGATGTCTACTATGAGACCAAGAGGCCAAAGTCCAGAAAAAAAGAAGTATCGTGGTAAAGAGAGGCAGAAATGGCATGTCTCAGGAAGTTAAGTTATTAGAGTGAACTCCTTTACTAAGCTGATTTGGAACAAGCAAAAGGCTTCAACTACAAAACTCTTAAATTGTTATCAGAACACTAATACTTTGCTCTCAGTGGAACAGGGAATAAACATACTGGGCTTGCCTTAACTTGATCACTCCCCAGTTCATGTCAAAGAAAACTTTGCGTTATATGGCATGAGAATTGACCCTGAACTCAGTTACATAACACACGCATTCTTAGCCGCCTTGATGAGAACTGATAGGCCCCTATGTTTGTTCGTTGAAATGAATGATCAAAATACAGGTAAAGCAAACAACAGGGAAATCTACACAGAAACCAAAATACTCCTCCTGACTTTTAACAATGAAAATAGGCAATAAAGCTACTATTCTGTATTTAGCATACATGCATATCAAATCAAAACTGTTGACATTACATGATCATTTGCCAGCAGGTTTGGTATCTCCAAGCCTTAATACAATTTTAATATACTGTATGTCAGCAAACATATATAAGTGTATAAAGATTGCTTAATAGGCTTTAATTTTAAAAAAGTTTTAAAAAATCCTTCAAACATTAAGAACATTTATAACATCAGTATGTGATTATTTTTATAATTGTGTGTTACAAATACTACTCTTATAAAAAAAAATGTTTTAATAGTCATCATGTTTCCTTCCGCTAACATTATAAAATCAGTATCTATATTTAATTTTTCTGAATGGTGAAATTTCAGTAGAGTAGAGCATAAAATTGACCCTGATTTGTTTAAGTGGTTGTGCTAAAAGTTTAATATTTCATTGATTAAGTTTCATCAACATTCTAATGTCAGTAGTATTCAGTAACTCAACCAAAAATGACCAAATCACTTCATCAAATTATTACCACACCTCTTCAACAAAGGCAGAAGGTAACATTGATTGTCTATTGCAATTCATGGTTGACTAAAATCCCATTACAGTACTAACTCAAGCAGTATACAGCATATCTGTGCTCAAAACACAACTCTGCATCTGATAAGAGACCTGGGAAACCAGAGCAGCCACCTTTAGTGGAAAAAAACTCCCAAAACCAAAATAACTTTCCCTCTGACATTTATTTGCGAGTCAATTTAAATTGTTATCACAGGAGAGGAATTCAATATAAAAATGAAGGTTTAAATGGTCATGTGCTGTCATACTTTTCTCTTATATCTTATATCCAAGTCTGTTTAGTGTATGTACTTTCTACATCTTATCACAAAGGTCTGAATAAAAGAAGTCTGCATTGTAAGAATATAGAGTGCAGGAAATCGTCTTTTTGTCTTTTCGACTCAGTAATTTATCAGAATATTTCCTTGGTCTGAACAGAAATATGTGGCTGTTTGCGCCATGGTACAAAATGCAAACATAAATACAGGCAGTACGGATAACTCAATCTTTAAGTCAATCTGGTTTCTCAGAAACCGTCAGGAAAATACAACCCCTATTTAAAGAAAAACAAAAAAAAAGTTGGCTCTGTTCATCCATCCATTTTCTATACAGACTGTACCCAATTCGTTGTTGGAAGAGGGCTTTAGTCCATCCCTAACCCGCTTGGATGAGAGGCCCAGAACAAACACCCCAGTCCATGACAGAGCCTCACAGAGACAAGACAAAAAAACTACACACAAACACTTTTGGGGGAACTATCCTCACATAAAGTTATTACAACAGTGGGTGAAAGCTATGGTATCTCGATAGAACACAGGGGGGAAAACACACAAACCAGAATTCAAACCAGGAAGGCTCTTATTCTGACAGCACAAACCAATACACATTGTCATTTCAAGATATGACAATTTCAGACTGGCCAAATAATCTGAATAAAACGGTAGGCAATCGAGCCCGACACAGGTATGGAGGATTTATAGCTTAATTTGAACTTAAATAGGATGGTTTTGTACGCTTAAGTCCATTTTTTATTTAGCTCTTGTTCAAAGAGGAAAGCAACATTTGTGGATCACCATCACATACGCTTTATTCTTAAAGCTTAACCTCACAGATGTGAATGGCATGAAAAGTTATGTTCATATTTCTGGTTTCTAGAAGGGTTCCGTAACCCATTTCCATAACAAAATTTAACCGGTTTTGTTTTATTTTTTATTCTAACGCCAACTGAAAGCCAAAAAAACACAGAAATCCACACCATTGTTCACAGGCCAACTGTACCCAGCAATTCAAACGTCCTATTCAAAATACTCTATCAGTATTGTATATTTGTTTGTAAGTAATATATATATGTGTTGAGAAATTTGCTTTAACCTCAGTAATTTTATTAGTGCTAGTCCTTCTTCATTCCCCTGAAATGGGATCTTGAGATATGTAAGTGAGGTTTGCAACTCTTAAATTAACAAAACCTGGAGGAAGCTCGCTGAAAAGGTTGAAAATGACTAGACTGGTTCTGCAGCTTCTTCCCTTTCAACCCAACCTTCCAGGCCTCACAAACACACCATTGTGTGGCAGGTTAGCACAAGCAGTGTCGTCTCTCACCATGAGGCAATAATTTACATAAAGACTTGCTTCTCCTGACTTTGTAACCAATATCTGAAACCTCAGAATAAATTTATTACATATTGAAAACCATGTTAACCATATCTAGATAAATAAGTGGGATCTGAAAAACTCTATATTATATGTAGAAAGCATACTAAATGTAGGCATAATTTCTTCAACAACATAAAACCCCTGTCAAAAATGATGGAATCACCAGTCTTGGACAAAGATCTTTACCCAATTATAGCTTTTTTTAAGCAAAATCCTAACCTTTTGGCATTAAGAAACCATCCATTCAACCATCCATTTTCCTTCCTATTTTGTGAGTACATTGTCCAGACTTTACACACAGATTACAGAAAATAAAAACGACATCTTTTTATTTATATTACCAAATAAGTTTGATGATACTCTCTCTAGTTTTAACTGACATCTCTCATGTTGGGGTGATGATTCCTGTTAGTTTACAGGATAAAAATGTATTTATAGATATGGTAAACAAGAACAATACTTTTTAACTGATTAGTAGATTTTATTTGATGCAGGTGTTATTGATAATTTTTTATTTATGGGAACATGAACTGATAATATTAGATTGATTTAAAAAATCATTATTCATTCAATCATAATAATGCTATGTCATTTTTATTCAATTTCAGGACCATTTCAAGATATTTTGAAATTTACAGAATTTTGATATTTTACATCCAGAAACACACCTGTGGCTGACTAGAATTCCATTTCTTTCTGTTTTATTGTTACTCGAATGCCATAAGGTTGGAATTTTGAAAAATAAAAAATATACTTTTGTTTCATGTCTCTATGAAACTTCTTTTTTTTTCTATAAAATTTAAAGAGCTTCCTCCAATTCCATTCTTTTAGTATTCTATCAGAAGGAAGGCCTCTGTTTTGGCTTTTCTGCACTGAGATCCTGATAAAGGCCTCCTTCCCAGCAGCACTGCATAAAATCAACCTAGAATTGATCATTTACTAAAAAGAGTCCAATCACTCATTTCAGGATCTGGATCTATGAGTTCTACTTAGAAATTCCTCTTGACAAATCTGATAACTTTATCATTTGCTCTCCTTCGGTGTATAACGGTGGAGGAATGCGAGGAATGTGAGAGAAATGCAAATATCCTGAATGCGCACTGACACATGCAGACACACGTATTCATCTGAGACGTTTCTCTAAAGTCGGCCAACACCTCCTGAATATTTCAAGAAAACATAGCATCTTGTAAACACGTTTTTGAGTTCATTTGTAAGTCTTTGGGAATGATCTCTTATTTTCTAGGGTAGGGTACATTGTCATAAATCTACTGGTTTCATTGAATCCTGAACTTCAAAGGTAATGACAGCGGAGAGATTCCACATGGGACTGATCGTGATCACGCCTATCCGGCTGAACATCGTTGCTGCCGCCCATATGCACCCAAATTTTGAGACTCCAGACCTTTAGTTCTGAACCCCTTCTGAGGAAGGATCCTCAGAAGGGAACAGTCCTGTCCACCTGCAGACCGATAACCTGACTCAGCACTACATTGAAGCTCCTGTCAGGTATCACAGTGGCTAAAGCTGGGCATACACCGATACGATTTTTCACTCCTGCGAGAATTTCTTGGATCGGGCCGAGTTTCAGCTCACTAGTGCGTCTCACATCGTGTTGCATACCCAGGAAAGCGCAGAGAAGCGATTAACCCATCACGACTACCCCCGATCGACAATCGTATGGTCGGACGAAAATCAAACCGGTTTGAATTTCTGGTCGGTAATTCTGGTGAGGGAATCGTGTGATTGAAGCAATGTTACGAGCGTCTACAACCCGACTACCCTCCATCTCTGGCACTACGTCTCTGCCAACACCCAATTTTTAGTGACACTGATTGGTCAGGGGTATTATGACGTTACGTGAAAGTTGTTGCTGCTTACTCTAGTTCACGCTGTAAAATTGACGGGCCATATTGGCCAAATCTGCACAGCCATTTCCTTAGCCAAAATACGTCATCTTCTGCATCTTTTTTTCTACAGCTTTCGGCACACACAATTGCGCAAATTGCCAAGGCGGCGCTTTTAGCTTTGGTGACCCTCAACGTTCCTTCCGTGTTGTTCGAATTTCGTCTTTTTCGTCTTCTATTTCAAGTCCGACATGCGTTTTTTGACGTACAATGTGAGCGGTCAGATCGCATAAGACTATCTGGTCGTATAGTGTGAGAACATAAATCGTGAGCTGCGAATTTTTAAACCCCTACGATTTGGTCATGCAGTTTGAACTGGAATTGAGAATGCAGTTGAGTCAAGGGTCACTTCATTTTGCTCATTTTGTTTTGTTTATGAGCCATGGGTTTTTTTGTCCAGCAATGTTATTTGTATTATGTTGTATAGGCCAGCCTGCTATCATCTTTATATGTTAGATATGAAGTAGCAGGTTCTGCCAGGTTCAGATGTCCTGAGAACATATAACAAAGGAAAATTTAAAAAAACTTTAATGTTTCTTGGGACTCTTAAATTGAGAAGTTGCACAAGTGGTCTTACTCTTAAAGTGAGGCAAATAATTTTGCTCCACAGGGTGTTATTGTAAAACATTTTATACCCTTTTACTGGTTTTTCTAGTTAAAAGGTAGCTGGAATATCTTAAGAAAAACTTAGCCGTACTTTCTTAAAATAAGATTATTTTTCCAATGCAAAACATGCTTGACAAGATACATTTTCATTTTGGATGCAAAATAAGACTTATTTCCTTGATACAAGGCTTTTTTACTTTTTTGAAATTCCTTTTTTGCAGTGTATGCCCGGCTTAAGATGTGTGACGCACGGCTCAGTGCATGAGTGGGACCAAGAAAGGAATAAGCAGCAACACCAGAGGGGTGAAACACCATCTCCTGGTAGATGGGGCGGTCAATCGGGGCTGTAAGACCAGACTGGCCAACCTGTGCACTACAATAAAACCTGGAATAGCTAAAACTGTTCAAGATCAACAGGACCTGAAGACCCTACATCAGGAATTCAGTTTCAATTTGGCAAACACTAGAAGCCAACTTCAACGCGGCGGCGCATCTGGTCTTCAATCAGCCCAAAAAATCTCACGTCACCCCTTTCTTCATTGAACTCTACTGGTTACCTCTGGCTGCCCGTATCAAATTCAAGTCCCTGATGCTAGCCTACAAAGTGCTAAAGGGTACGGCTCCCATCTACTTGAATCCTCTTGCAAAGGCTTATGTCACAACTCGATCACTCCGGTCATCAATGGATTGTCGTCTAGCAGTGCCTTCACCACGCTTAAGACAATCCAGACTGTTTGCATGTGTCGTTCCAAGATGGTGGAATGACCTACCAAGCGCCACAAGAACAGCAGAGTCCCTGTCTGTCTTCAAGAAACTCTTGAAGACCCACCTCTTCAAAGAGCATCTCCTATCCTAATCCTAACCCGTACCTCTATACCCCCCACAGCTCCTTCTATAGCCCCTCTACCTCTATCTCTTGCTGTCACCACTGACTCTGATCAGTGTTTCTCCTCTATATAGCTTATTGTCATTGTGATGAGAAATGTACTCTGTAAGTCGCTTTGGATAAAAGCGTCTGCCAAATGCATAAACATAAACATAAACTTCAAGCCCATTGCCAAAGAGATGATCTAGCACATAACAGCAGGGCACAAGATGGTAGACGGCTTAGCTACGTGGAACACCATAACAGGAACATACAGGAACATCTGTATGGCCCAGAAGTCCAGCGGTCAGAATGGGATATGCCCCCTAGAGTAGCTGACCTCGACCATGTGTAAGATCCTGTTGGACTTGGAACAACATCCGAAATGCCTGTCCAGAAGAGCGCAGTCCTACTGACAGCAAGGACGCATGCAGATCGCTGCACTGTCTTTGTCTAGCATTTGTTTATTAAAAACATTATGAAAATCACCGGTTATTTTGCATGCGTTGAACAGTTACCCATATTTTCAACACACAGGTCTTCAAATGGATCTTCAAGCTTTTAACTGAAATGGTTCTGCTTCAGGCCAGTTCATGGACAGACAGAAACTTTTTTTTTTCTGATTTAGCTAATCCGTCATATTTAATCATTTGCATATCTCTGCAAGCTCACTAAATAATACGATAAAGAAATGGAACATAAAAGGAGAAAAATAAACACCATGGAGCATTATAGGAAGAAAGAAATAAGTGTGGACTGAGGAACAAAATTTGACAAGTGAAATATAAGTGTGTTATTTAAGACTCCACTGATATATTAAGTGCTACAAAAAGAGTACTGTAGCTTATAGTCATCCACACTTTGTTTTAGTCACATGTACTTAGTTTTACTTACCAGATATATAAAAGTCAAAGTAATACTTTTATAATACTGATCCACTTTTGAAAGAATGTTACCTACAGATATTTTACAACTTGTGCAGACCTTTTTTGGGGGGTCTTGTTTTATAAACTCTAGAGCTGCCGCTATATATGTGTGTCTGGCAGCAATTACTGCTACTGACTTAAGATTCTGATTCTGAGATAACTATCTGACTCTGCTAGCTGTTTTCATCTTTCCTATACAGCAGAGCAAGTGTATCGATTTCTGTTAAATTCTATTAACATAATTTGGCAAGGCAAGTGTATTAGTAAAGCACATTTTTTGTACAATACAGTTGATAGTGCTTTACAAAGACTTTAAAAGCAAAAAACAAAACAAAACAAAGATGATGAATTGAATAGATAAACAGTGAAGGGTGCAGATAAAATGCTTTTGGTTTCCATATGCACAGTTAAACAGAACCGTTTTCAGCCTGGACTTGAACATTGTCAGAGTTGAGGCCTGTTTCACCTCTTAAGGAAGTCTGTTCCAGACTTTAGGATCATAAAACTAAAAAGGAGCCTCACCTTGTTTGGCTCTGACTCTGGTTCATAGGGCTCTAACATCTCAGAAACGTACTTTGGTACTTGACCATAAAGAGACTTGAAAACAAGCAGGGCTGTTTTAAAGTCTATCCTATTTATATCTAATTTGATATATTAAACAATGATGTGGTGGTTAGTAAGAGGATCCCTGGTTTGAAGCCCTTCTGAGTGACATCTGCAGGAAGCTATCTAGACTTTTTCATACTCCCACAAACCGTCCAGGGGATGGACGGCGTGTTAATACGCTGCAAATCCCTCTGTGAATGACAGGCTGGGTGGAGCCGGAGAAATTGCACAAAAGGCAACTTTCCCGTGAGACATGGAGGTGGCGTGCCAAAGGTTGAACTGTTAAACACACCATCTTTACAGCTGTTACCACCCCTACACACTCTCCGGAGAGGCTGCAAAAACCGACAACAAACACTCAAGCACAGAGCAGTCAAGTGTCAGCGGTTTAATGTGAGAGGGGTCGCATTCCCAAATCCGGGGGAGAAAACGTTTTGGTGTGTCACAACAAGGAAGCTGTGGTACATACCTAGATGATAAGATTGCGAAGTCCCCGCCATCGATGAGCCGGATCTTGCAGAAAAGCACTCCATTGACGAAAGGCACGGCCGTCAGCTCCTCCAGAGTGAAATGCACTTGAAATTTGAACTTCTTCTTTTTCATTAAGAAAGACATTGTCCAAAAACTGCTGGAGCGTGCTAGTAATGAACACCCCAAAAGAAAAAAAAAAAGAAAAAAATACTTTTTTCTTTTTGGCTCTAAATGGGAGTGTGGAAATTCTGAGTTTCTTCCAGACTAATCATTTCGGAACTGTTCTCTGGACCTAAAAAAGAGATAAAAGAAAAAGAAAAGTGACATTGGTTGACGTTTTACAGCAAGACAAACTCGTTTTTTTAAATGTGCAACTACTCACTTTTCCAGGAGGAATAGCTGAGAGGGCTGCATGGAGCAGTTTGCAATGTCTGCTCCAGTCAGATGACAACACCCACTAAATGCCACCCACGACAGTCCTGCGTGATAGGTGTTTGTTTACAATGAGTTTAACACATCATCTTTAAAAAAAAAGCTGGGGGGCTTTAAACGTGTTGTCTAACAGGATCGCGCTTACAAAGTACACGCAACTGCCACGCAAACACCCAAACTACAGATGTTCAGAGTAAAAAAGGGCGAACCTTACCGAACCCACGGCGTGCTGCTCCTCATACCAGCTGAGAAAAGAGGGAAAAAAGTCAACTGAGGACAAAAACTACCGCCGGTTTCGCGGCCTCACATTCATCTGTGCCAGTTTTTCCTTTCGCACTGAGCGGCGGGGCGGTCGGAACAACCGGTGTTCTGTCAGTCCAGCATACGCCGTCAGTACGCATGCGCACATCGTCAGATTGGCAGTCCACCATACACTGTCAGACCAGCATACGTATGTCAGCACGCATGCGCAAACAGTCAGATTTGCAGGCGGGTATGCTAGTCTGACACCATAACTTCTTTTTTTTCTTTCTTTTTTTTTTCAACATTTTACGATACATAGGCACCAATTAACACTTACAATGAACACTTTTATAAGAAGGGGCGATGTATAACAAACATATAAAGTGATATCCAAGATAAAATGCAATTACAGAAAATATAAAATAAAATAAATAAATTATAATAATTTTGTAATAATAATAATAATAAAATAAAACAATAAATAATTGTAAATATATATATACACATACACATATATACACATATACACACACATAATATATATAAAAATATACATACACACATATATATAAAAATATACATACACAAATATCTATGTATATAGCACCATACACAAGAATCATTATGGAAAGCAAATTACAAGAAAAATAAAGTAGGAAGGGCATTAATCAATAATATTACATTTAATCAGAAAGTAATTACATTTGCTAGCATTTTTTTCTTTTATTAGATTTACAGATTTTGCATAAGACTTTAGCTAATTTTTGCAGTGAGACATATGGGGCATACATCTGTGGAAACGACATTTATGTAAATAATATTTACCCAATATAATTAGATTATTGATGCAATCTTCATTACTGCCAATTTTTGAAGTAAAAGTATGTAGTTGAATCCCTTTGAAATGGATCCATATCTGAAGGTCAAGCCGAAATATCTGAACTATATTGCAACAAAAAAAAAAGATAATCCCAGTTTTCACTTTCTGTCTTACAGAAATTACAGTTCCCTATGTCTACCTTTTTTTATTGATTTTTTTATCCATCCAGCTGCTGTGTCTGTAGAAAGATGTCCTGTAGTCACCGTGGGCAAACCCGAGGGAGAACCTGCAAACAAACACTACGGGGAGACACACAAACTAACAAAAACAAACAGCAAAAACATACTGCAGAAAAACCCGAGGGAGAACCTGTAGGAGCACCTGCAAGCAGACACAAGGAAGAGACACACACAAACAGGCAGCAAAAACTGAAGGCCGCCACGACACTGGAGGTAATGGCAGACAAGATATATTTCCAATTTTGTACAGCAACTGTCCAGAAGCTCAAAGGTGTTTGTCTGGGCAAATGAGTTAGTGTGTGTGTGTGTGTGTGTGTGTGTATATAAGCACCGACGTGCAGAACAGGCAACCCAGGTTTCACACAGATTGTGCTCAGCTAAGCATGCATAGGGGGCACCATCCCCAAACAAACAAACAAACAAAAAAAAACAACAAAAAAAACACACACCCTTCCAACCGCTACACGTACACACCTTTCACACTTACGCAGCCACCCCCCTTCCCGCTCCCCAAAAAATAAATAAATATAATAATAATAACAATAATAATAATAATAACCGTAATAATAACAATAATAATAACAACAATAATAATAATAAAAAATTAAAAAAAATAATTAATCAATTATTAAAAATAAAAAGGGGGGTCCAATAAGAAACTACATAAGGAAATAAAGAAATAGTTTGCCCTGCAGGTGTGGCAAGGCGGGCCGCCTCGGGGCCAGCGGCCCCCGGCCGCCCCGGAACAGACGGGACCCCCCAGGCACCCCAGGCACTATGCAGCTCCGGGCAGCGGGTGAGCAAGAACACACCCCCCCTCGCCCCCCAGGCTCCATAGTATGAGTGGGTTGAGGACAACTCAGGGTCCTCCGTGTCTAACAAGTATTTAAAACAGAGGGCTGGGCGGGCCCGCGGAGTCACAGAGCAAGGCCCCCCGAGCACCCCCCACTGCCCGACCCTGCTCAACACACCCAGCCCCCTGGGCCTAATGTGTTAGTGTGGGTATGGTCAGATGTAATGTCTAGGGTGCCATTAAAACACGGGGTGGGGGTTTCCTGCAGGGCGGGGGAAAAGAGAACCTCGTAGGAGGCACCCTTAACCGCACCCGGCATGGTCCCGAATCCCTATGTGGTGAGTGTGTTCCGTGGGCTGGAGCCTGGGGGGAGAGGGGTAAGGGGGTGCAAACAGGGAGGAACACGGCCCCCCCCAGAGAGGGCAGCCGTGCTTGGCTGCATTGGGCGCTCCTGCTCTCGGAGCCCCGCCCACGCCTGGAGGTCTGAGAGTCCCCCAGGTCCGGGCCCAGCAACCACAAGGGACCACCCCCCGACCGGAGGGCACGCCACCGCAACACCCGAAGAGGGGGAGAGAAGGGGGTAAGAAAAAAAAAAGGGGGGAGAGAGAGAATACATAAAAGAATATTTAAAAATAAATAAACAAATAATAATAATAATAATGTCCTATGTCTATCTTAAGTCTGACTATAACTGTCAAGTCAGCATACACTGTCAGATCGGCATACACTTATCACAAATTTAAGAAAATAACATACAAGAAGTCTATAATGCTACTTTATTCATGCCTGATATGATAAACAAAATGTTGTAGTGGAAGGTAAACACACAAACTTACCAAAAAAGCATACCGAAAGTCAAGTAGGCTACAACCTAAGAATTGATTCATGGGGTTAGTAGGTATAGCTCAAAATCAAGTGCTTTTTCAGCATTAAAAAATGTGTTTATTACAGATACACATAATAATGAGTTGATAATTTAATTAAGTAAGTTGGTCTAAATCAAAATAAAGAAACTAGCATGCATGGTGTAAAAACGCGGGTAAGGAAGCCAATGTTGCAAATGCCAACGCACAGGAGTAGTCTTAATATTATTAACCTAGTTGTGTGTGTGTACTTGCCTCTTTCTAGTAGGCTAGTTTGCAAGCTTTTGTTTTTCATCTTGAATATTCAAAAACGGTCAAATTAAGTGGATCTGTAAAATTTGCAAATTTGAAACACAAAGAAAGACAGATCTCTAGTCAAGCAGTAGAAAGGAAGTTTGGAGTTAGCAAGAAACTTGTAAGGGACTGGCGAAAAAGCGGAGGTTACTCTGACTGCAATGAAGAAAACCAAAAAGCCAACCGGGGGCTAAAAGCTAGGTGGCCACAGCTGGACGAAAGAGTTCGCACATGGGTTCTTGAACAACGTGCTGCCGGGAGAGATCAAATAAATTTTTGTTGTCCATTTGGATAGTGTAGGGCACGGCATTTGCTGCATTTTTGTACATTGTTTGCACTGCTCTGTACTTATCTGTGCGGATGCCTTTTTGCAACATTGTCTTTGCACATGAACGGTGGTAAAACATTCTTCTGCACACTGTCCTTGCACACTGTTTTTCTCCCGCATTGTTGCATCTGGTCACTGCCGTACTTTATATTGTAATGTTGCCCTGCAGTCCCATTACACTGTCGTAAGCTATATGCAACGAAATTTCGTTCTGCATGCACTCTGTACATATAAAATTACAATAAAGTTGCCTAAGTCTAAGAACTTTTCCTTTCTCCTGCTGATACAGATTCAATCTCCTTGAAAGTAAGATTTTTTAGCACCGCCATGGATTCCTGGAGACTTTCCCTGAGGAAAGACTTATTCAAAAGCATCACTTTCTTGAGCATTATCCACAGGTGATAAGGGATTTTGGTCCACTTGTATTTGTGTGTGCGCTTCCAAGCTAAACACAACTTTGTGTGGTCAGGCATACCCACAGCTTCCGAAACATTTGGTTGTCTCTTGCTATAAAGCATCCGTTAATGGTGGTGCGATTGTTCCACCATCTCTCCAGGCATCAAAACTGTCAATGGTGGACTTGACTGTGCCGAAGGAAGACATAAAACAAGCACTGCAAATAAAATTCCCCAGCATGTCATTTGTCCAAATGGCAATCAGAATGTATTGCTTGCTAGCAGTGGAACCAGTTACTCCAGTGGAATGATCTTGGAACATGGTTCAACAGGTTGTCTTCCAGATTTTGTGGAGTTGATTCAGATAGCAGTTTTAAATGGGAAGGTTGGCTTCATTGATAAATGTTTAAGTGGGTGGTATATTGAACATCTTAGAAGCTATGAACTCGAAAACGCAAAAAGTGTTAAGGTGATTGAGCCAAATGAGTTGTCTGACATCTTCCCAATGGTAGCATACACCGTGGCTGGTAAGCGCATGGTTACCCTGAAACGATACATTTATGTTGATATGTAATGGTAAAACCTTCTCATTTGTTTGACCTAAAGCTCAATAAAAGTTTTACGGTACATTATATTTCAATGGAAATACTACAAGGATAAAGAAAGGCTCATATTTGTCATACAAATAAATGTTCAAACATTTAGTCAGACAAAAAGTGGATACATGGATGCTCAGA